ATCCCAAGTCCCCGGTGGTGGGCCGGCTACGCAAACCTTCCCCTCAGTTCAGCCTTCCACCTGGCGTTAACCAAGGCTTCTAGCTTTACCGAGGTGCAGGCGCGCCCGTGCTCGACACCACTCCAAGGACATTCCACGATGCAGAGTGGCCAGCAAGGACCTGTCGTTGCCTTGCCTGATGTGAGTGTTAGGCTCATGACCTGCGTTTCAGGTGTTCTCTACGCACCCACACAAGTGAGCGCAGCCACTATTCAAGACTGCCTCTAATCATGTGACGCGTGCACCTTAAGGGCTGTGCACATCCTTTCAAACTCCTCCCAACCTGCTGACTTCACCTTGGCAGCCCTCTAAAACTGTACATAGAAACGTCCAGAGTCGGTAGAGTGAAAGAGATTGCAAAAAGTCTGACGGGAAGTGGAACGGAATGCCTTTGGAACAGGTGGTGACACACACACACACACATCGTTGGGTTCCAACACCGTTTGCAGCTTGATGTTTGGACTGGGAGTTCAAGAGACTGCTTGAAAGCCATCTAGGATGTATCTACGTTTGAATTTGCAGTAGTCCACCACTTCTTCCATTTGGAGAACCTATGAGAACCTGTATTCTTCCAAGAACATACAGGGATTCTCAACTCAGGCTTGTCAGGCCGAGGGCTGATCGTGGATGCATAGCTTCGTTTCGGTTTGTCATCGGCAATGTTCAGAAGCAACCGGTGCCCGTCATCATCATCGTCATGTCTCTATGTACCCTTCCTCATCAGAATCACAATCATCCATTGTTTGCATGGGACAAACTTGAAATCCAACACTCCCCCAAGCAGACTCCTCGAGCAGACGAGGCGCCTGGAGCGGATGCGTGAGAAGCGCGACCAACAGGCCTGGTGGAAAGACCAACCGCGGAGTGAAGTGCACACAGCCCGGGCTAAAGTATCTTTGGCGAGGTCAAACATGCAGTGGGTTGGTATGTGGTAGACAAATTGCACGTTGATTGCGCACTGATTTGTAGAGCAGAGTAACGCTCACTTCAGCTTTCACCATTGGCTCGACTTCACGACTGCCTCGTCAGGAGCTTCGCGAGTGTTCCTTCCAACCGTTTCGTGGAGGCGACGGGGCACTGATTTGGAACCGGGGCTGAATCAAGCGATATGGCCGACTGCCTGGAAGAGCACTCTCGATGTCTTCATCTCTTTTCGTGTTTCCACCAAAGAGACCCTCCATTGAAACACTCAGAACCTGAGTTTCTCATTGAAGTATTTCACAGTTCAGCCACGAGGAAGACCAGCTAGACGGGAAATCGTATTCGCTAGGCTCACTGGCTGCCCTGTTTCTGCGCTGTTTGCTTGCCGCTTTGTATCGTTTCCGGCTTTCCAAATGCAACAAAATACTCCTCCAATTACCTGGCATTCGCAGGCTTTCATTTAGGGTCCTGGTTTTTATTCCTTCTTTCGTTTCTGAACACTTCTCGTGCCACTTTTCCCCGCGGCACCGCACCCGTCGTGGATCCAGGGGGCGCGGAGGCGTCCACGAGCCCGGAAGTCCAGCAGTAACTGCAGGGATGGGAGGATGGGATGGAAGTTGCTCACTTGTGCTGCGGAACTTGATCTAAGATCCTGGACCGTACGTTGAGTCACTTTATCACCTGGGTGCAGGTAATCAAAAGATGAGTCAGCACCTGATTAACCAGAAGATCTCGTCAAGAGTCTATCTTTGTGAAAAGGGTCGTTCATTTTCCGTGTTCTCCCTGGCCACTTCGAGTTGCAAGATTTGCCAGCTCCAATGCTTTTCTTTTCAAAGGGGTCACAGTCCCATTAATAGCTTGGGAACCGAGAGCTTCCAAGTCATGTTCTTTGTCCATGCAGTTGCCCAAATTTCTGACCCAAGCACCCCTTTGGTGATGGGTGCACAGCATTTGCACCCTTTACCTCAAGCCAATGATTGAGCCGTGAACATGTGTGAAAAATGAGGGTTGGGTTGCCCCCTAACCATGAAATCAAGAGTCATCCCCAGAGGCTACAAAGGGGACATGGATGGACATGGAAATTTTCTTTGTTACCCTTTTCACCAAAAAGGCATCCAACAAGTTTTCTTCCTCATGCCCTACACCATCCATGTTGGACATGTTGGACATCCCTGCTTCCGGGATTTCGGTTCTCAGGCCTTTCGCCTTCCTCACAAGCTGTCATGGTCCTAGTGGAGCGAGGGCCGTCCTTTTGCAACTGGAACTGGAGACTGTAGCACGTTTACTACCCATAGTTCGGACGCATACTTGAGTTCATTCTTGGCTCAAGAGGCTAGACGCAGTTCTGGTGCCGCTCCTTGTGGGGGCTATCTCTTAAGACTCTCTTGCCAAGTCTTGCGGTTGCAAAGGTCTCTCTGCACCTGTTAACGCACCAACCGACTGAATTTTAGCATTGGCCATGAGATTCACTTGTTTCTATTTCCCCTGAACCTCGCTGTTTTTCGCACGCATGGGACCCACCGGACGGCCAGCTCTAAGGCGTTCTGGCAGCGCCTGGCCACCAGCCGTTCGCCGGGGTCAGGGAACTTGGCTCGAACGGGTGGCTGGAGCGGCACACTGGCGAACGGTGGTTGTCAGTCCAGAGACCCCGGAGACCCAGCGGGTCTCCTCTGAAGCACTGGCTAAAGAGGTGTCTCCTCTTTATGTAGTTCGTAGAGGCCAAGAGTTGTTTTTTTTTAGCCTTCGTACCCTGGTGCACACCCCACAGCGAGTCTCCACATGTGGGCCTTGCACAGGTACCGGGTCTGTCAGAGATTGGAGGCTTGGAAAGCCGAGCGAGATTGGGAGCTGCGAGGCGCTCCGGGGACTGGGTGGAGAGTGGCGACGAGTGTTTCATCCTTAGAACTCCGAAAGTTTCTGGGCCACAACAGAGAATACGATAATATGTTATAGTTATATATATATATTTAATATACAGTAGATCAATATAACATGATCAGCAAATCTAGGAGATTGGGCAGCCGAGCCACAGCGGTGGCTCATCTGGGCCGGTTCAACATTTTCGCAGGCTTGTGATAGCTGAAGAGGCTAGTTGGATGGTCCCGAGATTATGGAAAGGGCGTGTGAAAGATGCTCTTTCCCCGATTCGGTCGAACATTATGAATTGTTTCTGTCCAGAGTGCCTCCTCTCTCTCCACCATCGTCAGAATGTCTTCGCCCAGCAAAGGAAAGCGCTTTCGGCTCACCAGGTGAGTGCACCTTCAACCCGGACACCTCGCGGAGTTCCAGATGCTTGGCTGAAAAACGAAGTATGCAGCGGCCCTGGAGGTCTATTTATCCTGTGGGATTGGCGAATTGGGGCACCAAGAACATCTCAGACAATTCTTGTAAAGAGCTGCAAGACATCCTTTAGATCCTTTCCCTACTGACATTACTGGTGATCCACTTCTCGCACACCGCGCTGGAGGCATCGGACTTTCTTGATTCTCAAGATCGATTTGGGTCTCTGCAAATGACCATCCCATACGTCTACTAAGTGGGATGACTTCCCATACTTCTACTCTGCATGACTCTATCCCTATTGTAACCAACTGCTGAGTAGGGATAGAGTCATCGAACCCTTCAGCCGTAGGAGCAACACGACGGACCTCGCTTGGTCCGCTCCAAACGGGGCGATGACTCGCAGGGGCTGCGTGCGAATTGGTCTCTGGCTGCATGGTTACAGGGTATTACAGGGTATTACAGGGTTGCTGGTTACAGCTGCTTCGCAAATGGACAAGAGGTTTTGCGGGTCTCCAAAGACACTGCTCCGTGTGTGCGAGACACGTCCAAAACAGCTGAGGAAGTTTCCAACAGTTGCGGCCTGGGATGACCGCTCGAACGCCAGAGCGAAGAAAGGCCGAGATGTTCGGGATCTTGGGGGAGGGGCCGTCGTAGAGGCCGCCGTACTTCTTTTTTACAGCCATTCATCTCATTTGGTGGAGCTTGTTGTGGATGGTTGTAGGATGTTGTAGGCACTTCTTTTCGAGGGAGCGGGGAGGAGTTCTTTTAGGTCTTGAGTACAAGGAACGTACACTAGGCGTTTTGGCCGGAGTGCCTCCTTGCCGGTCGGCAGCATTCCACAGGCCTCAAGTGTCTCTGAGCTTGTCCCTGGGCAGCAGATGGGGATGCCGAAGTGTTCGCTTTCATCTGAAGCTGCTTTCCGTCCGCTGAATGTTGGTCATGATTCTTGAAAGATCTTCTGCCTGCAGCACTCTGCCTTCGAGGCCAAGGTGGCCTCCGTACATTGACATCCTGAAAACCCAGCCTTGTAGAGGAAGGCCCCGTCTTCCAAGGGTCAATGAGTCTTTTGCTTTGCCCTCAATCTTCCAGTGTAGAAAAAGCGATGCGCCCGCTGAGCCTTTGCGTCTCAAGCCTCAAACATTCCGTCGAAAAGTGGTTTTGTTTTTTTGGACCCGTAAAGCATTTGTAGCCCGTTTGGATGTGTGCCATTCAACATTACAAGAATAAGTGAAGCATGTGAAACATCAATAGTAACCTGACTCTTAGGGAACTTTCGCCTGTCTAGTTCTGACCCAAAGTAACACCTTGTTTCGCCACGAGGTGAACCGTCATCTGCTTGTGGACCGTTTCAGCCGAGGACCCCAGCTTCACGCCAAGCACGAACCCAGTGCCAGCGAGGATGAGAAGCCGGGAGCTGAGGGGAGGGTATATATAGAGAAGGCCCTGATTTTCCGCTTTCTCCGAGATTCATGTAGTAACAAGAAGCTATTAGAAGCAAAAGGCATCGCTACTAGGAGCAAGGACGCTACTAGGGGCTCCTGGCCTTACTACTAAGAACAAGAAGCTATTAGTAGCTAGAAGCTGTCGTGTTCGACCATTGGGCCCATGGGGTGCACGTTGAATCTCCATGGCCAAGCCACCCAGGTGCCCAGGCCTATCTACAGCAGAGTGTCTTCCGCGTGCCCGGCTGGTTGGCTTTGGCATGTGACCACTAACTCCGGAGTTGCTGAACCCAGGCGAGTCGGCAACTTGGGCAACTTAAGCTCAAAGACGCAAGCGTTCCTTTTCAATCCTTGTCACATTTACTTTTCTGCCTCTTGAGCAAATTGAAGCCCTCCAGCACTTTCTCTGACACGGGCAACGCGCTTGAGCTGTTCTTGGCAGCCCACACCACATGTGCTCCTGCGTTTTGGGCATCTCGAGGTTGCCGGCCTGTTCGGCGGTGGACGCACCCCCACAACCCTCCAGGCTGAGTTCAAGATTCAAGGGTGCTTCTTCCATATTTGCTGCTTCACTACCTCCAAAAGAGGCTCTTGTTTGAAGTACTTCCGCACATCTGAGAGAAACATCATGGACATCCTCTTTTCGGAGTGGCGTTCCAGTGCAGAGGTGGCCCGCCGATGTTGCGCCGGTCGCCCTGGTCAGCCCACAACAGCAGCGTGAGAACCAATCTGTCAAACAAGAGAATAGAACAAAACCACACCTAAAAGCGATCTCTGGACATGCATGGCGAATTCTTGAATGGAAGATCCGTGCATCGTACAACATGGTAGCTGCGGCTCAATGAACAGGTGGAACCACAAAACTGGCGACTTTGCCTACTTCCGTTGGGTTAGTAAATGACACTTCGTACAAACACCAGGGCACATGCCGTTACTTGGCTATATGTGGATGCTCGGAGGTTTCAATAGTTTGCTGGCAAGACCAACAGTTATCACGAGCTGAAGTTGAAGTACATTTGCCGCCTGAAGCTGGGGCTAACGCGCGGGGAGATCGTCAATTTGCTGTGTCGCAGTAGAGGGCTCCAATGACTAAAAAGCCTAGACCTAGAAGTAGTTTGGTTGACATGAATTCTGCCTGATTTCTGTTGCAGCTGGCTGAATTTATCCCATGTGCCACTGCTGGACAACCGCAATCCATTCGCCAGGTCGCTTGTCACAGCCTGGTGCCCTAGTGCTTTTGCACTTGCTGTAGACAATGACCCAGTGAGCCGGGCCTTGCCACTAAGCGGCCAAGGGTCATTGAAGGCGGTGCCGAAGATCCTTGCGGTTCCGGGGGATGGAGCTCAAGTAGACCAGGAAAAACGGTTCCCTCTGGGGTGAAAGGGGCATACACCAGGATCATATTTGCTTTCTTCGCGTAGCGACTCCAACGGCACAAGTGGGGTAGGGTTGGTCGGGTTTCCACGGGCCTCTGCCTAGCCGCGGCTAGGCCGACCACGCCGCGGAGGGCCACTCCGGCCCAGGACTCAGTGAGTCAACTCGTCAGGACCTTCAACCCAGAAATCGACTCGTTGTGACCTCAGAAGCTTCAATACCATCGAGCTGCCTGGACAGACTCGTCTTGCTCAAAATGGATGCTCCAAACAAGTTTTATTGTTTTGAGATTTCATGAAACGCCAAGGACAACCTCTCATTTTTGGTATATTTAGGTTCTGTTCGGGGAGGTTGAAGTAATTGCAACCTTCAGGCGAGGGAATTTAGGATTCTTGACAATGAGATGCCCTTCAGATACAAACTTATATATATATACACTATATATATATATAGATGGATATGTCAGACCTTTAATGCACTATTGCATTTTTTCCAGGGAAGGAAGTCTCACCAAGACGTTTCACCAAAAGGTTTAAAGAGTTGAACTGACCTTTCAAGCGAAGATGACACCCCAGAATCTTTCGAGACGGTCCTCAAACGAGATGACGGTCCTCAAAGAATCATCTACGCCGGTTTCACCATGTCCACTACGTTCTCTCAAAGGTGCTTGAGTTGTTGAGGCTCACGGGAGGGGAAAAAAAGAAGACACATCCGTGACCCTGGGTTTCGTCTTCATGGTGCTCCCGCCGCTTCGTTTGGGCCCACCGGAGCTAAGGCGAGCTTCGCGTCTTCCCCGCGCCTGAGCCGTTGCCGTTCTGAGCCAGGGCTCAGCGAGGGAGATCGTAGCACGGTGGGGGTGCCGAGCGGGGCCGGAGGATGCAGGTGTTTCTTGGGGAGGACAAGTCATAGAATCCTGTAGGATCAGAACGGATCAGAAAGGTTTCTAAAAGATCATAAGTCAAGGGATGTGTGGGTGGGTTTGTTGATCAAGTTGGATCGAACCAAGTTGGGTGAGCTCCTCTACTGACTATGGTGGTTTTCCTTTCTTTTTTCGTGGCAGAGTTCCTTCGCATTCCCGGAGGCAGAAAAAGATTCGTGGTGCGACAGTTTGAGGGGAGACACGTTTGAGTTTGTTGACCTTTTTGGCAGTAAAGATGTTGATTGTAGGTGAAGACACATTCGGGAGGGATTTGAAGAACTTCCTGGAACGCAACAAACAATGCATAGCCCTTAGTCCCAGGATTTTGCTGCTGAGCCCCCTGAGAATTATATAACCTACTGTAAAACGTGTAAACTCACCTGAACTAAAATAATTTTGCCTTTCACTTGAGGCAAATGAGTCACTGCTACGCTTTCTCCAGCGGCAAAATCTCTGCGAGGAGGCCGGACGGAGGAACACATTTGGGTCATGTTGTTTGGGTGTGAAGGAGTTAGTTGGTTGCTTATGCATCACTGAAGTTTTTTTAGATCATCTACCAACCAGTCTTCGAAATGGTATGTGTGGTGCAACTGTCCCAATTGTCTCAATGGCGTTCAGCTGGATAAATGCAAAGAACTGACCCAACGAGAGCCGCAGCTTAGCAGGGATTTTGCCACTATATAGATCGGAATTTCACAGCTCAAGGCACCTGGCAGGGTCGCTTTCACATCAAACCAGCTAGCTACGCCTACCGCAGATCTTCAAATGAATAATGCCAGGCATGATATGGCATGATATGATTGCCGATGTTGTCAGATTTCTCAGTTGAGTTTGATGGTCGAGTCAATGTGCCTGGCGTTTTGCCCGACAGGCGCGCCAGGAGAGAATGGAGCGCTTGGAGGCAGTTCGCATCACCTGAGATGTTGCCCCACACTGTTGATCACTGTTGTGCAGGTGTTGCCAATCGGATACTTAATACTATACTACTTGCCACTACTTGCTGAGTTACTTGGTGTTTGGCAGTTTGCAGCAACGTCTTTGGACACACTTAGAACATGTCAGAACATGTCAGAACAGCCCCCAGAAGGTATAGAGCATCCTCAGATGATGTGTGAAACATATGACACTTTGCTACTTTTTGGGTTCTCTAGGTTCGTCCAAGCTTTACCCATTCTCTACATGACACCGCTTGGAAGTGCTATGATTTGGAGCCATCGGAGAAGGCTTTGAACGAGACATATACTGTGGGCCCCCAACAAGGACAGAAAAGAGAAAAGTAGATCTGGGGACACCGGGGACCACACTCACCGTCACATGAACATGAACATGTTTACCATATACTGTGGCCCCCGGTGATCCCCACTAAACATGTCTTGGACACCGGGCACCACACGTCACCGACGTGGCTTTTGTTTGGCCACGTCGAGAGGCCTCGGTGGCCCCACCACTCAGGCGCGGTCAGTCATTCATTTCCATTGGCCAGGGGTTTCAGGGGACATACTATGTTTGGAACAGTATCCATGTATATCCATGTCTATTTGTTTGGGTAAAACAAGACATAGGTTCTTTCTCTCCTTGGAGGGGATCACGAACCTCTTCAGGAAACTACAACATCAGGTGGTCCAACAATCAGGGTGTAGGGATATGTAGGGATCGTTGTTTGGTTTCTTTTTGCCCTGTAGGTCTAAACTACCCGACCTGAATCAACCTACCTTGAGGTACCTAAGAACAAAGAGGAAAGAGTGACGTACAGCGTGGCAGCAGACATGGAGTTATTTGTTGGAGCAACACAGCATAGCTTGGGAGTTTTTGCGTGAGTCCCATCGAACCAAGAGGGGTTTAGGGACGGTCCACCCGAACGCAGCCAGCGATCCCAAAACGTCCTCGTTTTTTCGGAGATCCATCCCGTGCGGGTTGCATGCTAAATGGAATTCCAGACCAAGGTCTTTCATGCACAAACTGCACTTCAACTACGTAACTACTTCAGACATCGAAGCCCCAATGGAGTCAATGGAGGATGGACTGATATCTAATTGATGCTTTTGCTACTTTAACACCTCTGATGAGTTTCAGCCGACACCCAGGCCGGTGCTGTGTGAGCGATCGCTCCAGCTCGCGGCACGAGGCCAGGTGTCCGAAAGCACGCTCTGTAGGACTTGGGAAGTGGATTTAGTGGATCTAGAGGGTGGCGCATCCCAACCGGTGGGACATCAGCAAGTGTTGGGGCGGCTTTTGGCCATCATTCCCTTCACCTGAGGGTGTTTGGAGGGTTTGGAATCGGTCCATGTTGGAGCCCAGAATGCATCCTTGACGACGATCTCAAAGTTGGATTCGCATTCTTGAGATGCACATCCCTGGGAACCTGGCATGTTTGGTAGACAACTACCATGCAGTATCAGGCAGTTGTGCGGTGTTGTGCATTCACAAGAAGTAAATGGATCACGTCCCTAATTATCTCAACAATCATATACAATAGTATCATATCACCCCATGTTCACCAAGTCTTTCGCCTTGTTTGTGGCTCCTGGTGGGGTCGCCCAGAGTCAGATTTCGTTCACCTTCACCTCCTTTTCCCCTTACAGGGCGGACAAGGACACCTTCGCCTCGAAGGCAGGACAAACAGCGGTCCAGCAGGGTCCAGTGCGGTTCGTCAACCCTGGATGTCTTGAGGCTAGGGAGCGTTAAGTGCCCACGTATGGAGGCCTTCTAGAACAGCACCAGTCAAAGTGCACAAAGTTGGATCGATTTCGTAGGGTTTTCAGTACTGAGCCGCACCGGGGTACTGAGCTGAGCCCTTTCAGAGGCTCCCGTCGGTCTTCTGGGGCGCTTTGGTTCCAGTTGAATGACATGTCACTGGCAAAGATCAAAAGACGTTCAGGTTGGAACTTGACAACGAGCTTTCATTGAGAGAAGCCAAAAAAGAGTTCAGGGAGATGCACGTCACATCTCAAGGATCAACTTCCTGAAATCAAGGCAGCCAGTAGAAGGACCACCAATTTGAGGCAGGTTGGTGCAGCTGGGGTGATACATGGAGTAGCTCTCCTGGACAGGCTATCTTGCCAGGTGAGGCTGCCCTTTGTGAGTTTGATGGAAGAAATCATCGACATCCTGCTAGCAAAAGGTTCCATCTACGGGCCGTGAGAGGGCCGTGAGATCCCAGGGTCTCAGGTACTCAGGTACTGACGGTTCCTATTGCCTTCAGTGGTCTCTACAAGTCACTGGTTTCCTTCACCTTTCAGAGAGCACTTTCCCATCTGCTTCGCGTTTCCCCATCCAGGGCCACGCCAGCTGAAAAGGACAGACCTGACCCGGGAGACCTTCGATGGACATGGACGACCGAGCTGCCGGCTCGTCCCTGTGGCATGTCGGAGTCACACTCTTTAGCCCCGGGGGAGTAGTCACCGGACTCGGTCACCGGTCTTTCCACGCATGGCGCGTGAAGTTGCACCGGTGCGACGCTCTGCGGTTCATGGATCTGCGGTTCGCCAGATCGTGGGTGACACGGATGGTGCAACTTCAATTGGGTAGATGACTGTCTCTTGGATGTACAAGTGCATTAGAAGAACGCTGGATATTGAGATCTGAGGTGCTGCATGAGAATGAGACTGGTGGACCAGGATGGTTCGGGTTTGGCTTTGAATGTCTTGGTTGTTTTTGGAGCGTTTTCACCTGGCTGGTCCACACTTGTCCTCTTGCGACGGGCCACATTTCTTAGTTAGTGGGACAAATAGGGTGTGGCAGCGCTTCTTCTTTTTTGATGCTTGGTAACCATGATGGAATTGACTGGCTCCTGGAGCTTTTGGTGGCTCGTGTCTGGTATTCATTGGCCATCACCGACTCATCTTCAGCGGGTTGCGTTGGGTAAAGATGCTCCCCGGTGGACCCGGTGCGTCTCGACGGGCTCGTGGAAGATGTTCGATCCAAGAGGGTTGGGAAAGGGATCGCCGTTTCACTTCGACGTAACAGGAGGGGTTCCGGTCAACGGATTCTCCGTCCGCGTGCTTTGCGTCGTTGGAAGGGAAAACCAGGTTCGACGTGTTGAAAGACGCCGGACTGGGAAGGGTGACAGGTTCGCACAATGGGAAGTGGAAGTTGCGACGGGATGCCGTCTTTCGTGGGTCCCGGGTCTTTCTAAGGCAAGGAACGTCCCAGGTCCAAACATGGTCCCCAGCTGGCAAAGGAAAACATGAGAATGTAGGAACATCATGGAACATCATCAGAGCCCGCTCATGGGAGGTGGGAAAGGGAATAAACGGAAGGAACTGTAGGTGGAGCTGCCCAGTATGGAAACCTTGAGTTTGCTTCAGGAGATGCGCTTCAAGCCACGCATCACATCGTTGGCGAGGTGGGGAAGCAGCAAGGCTTTCGTGCTTTGAGTCTAGCAACCAAATGAATAGTCCGAGCGCTTCTGCAAGGAAGTTCTCCTCCAGCTTACCTAGTAATTTGTTTAGCCCTTACTTATATGATTATTTATGTAGGCGCCTACTTAATTACGAGCGGGCCGGCGGGCCGCCCCAAAAAAGAAACACCTCATCCGGTCATGACATCGAGGATGCGTTCTGCGTGTGTCAGCTTCTGTGACGTTCCGTTCAACTGATAACTCTGGAAGAACTCCCCGAAACGGCCTAAGCCCCTATTGTATGAAATTGTATGATCACAGGTGTTGGAACCAATCCTCCAGATGGTTTTCTAAACGCAGACATCAGACAGCCATCAGACATCAGATGTGCTTTCTTCAGGACCTCTGAAATCATATGACGCATCACGCCGAAGCAGGAACTCTGTACCTCAAGCATATATGTATCCCACAGCGGCATGTCCAACTTGATTAAACGTGTTCAGGGGCTACATGGGGTTAGGGTCTAGATGTACAGACGCGCGGCCTAACTACCATGCATCAGGTCTCTTTTGTCTATGAAATCCGAACTGCCAATCCCCAATATTGACCGGCAGACTCCCCGTTTTGGGGCACGACCTGGATCAATTACTACCGCCACCATGGGCGGTGGGGTTTCCTTGACCTCAGAGAGGTCTTTGACGTGGTCATAAGAGATGGTGAATCAACACCCTTCAGGATCCTTGTTTGGTATGGCTGGGTGGTGGTTTCAGACATTTTGATGTTCGACCTTTACTTGGGATGATTGAGCCCGCTTGACCAAAATATTGGTTCTTCGTCAGTTCCAACCACGTTCCAACCACCAACCAGCCTGCCTTCCGAGGCAACACGACTTCCGTGGCTTCGACCAGCTGGGCCCTCTGGTGGAGCCCTCAGTGTGACGCGGATCGGAAGTGCGGAGCCCTGATGGATCCAGTGGTGGGTGATTTGGGCTTCAAGATCGTGAGCTCTTGCCATGCTTGGAGTGACTCCACTTTCCAACTCTTTCCAACCAGTCTAGCTGTTTACTGATGTTTATTGACACATACTGACACCCCTAAAGATGCAATTTCTGAGAATTCCCTTAACCTTAAAGACACTTCGACTGGCCCAACCTGAGAATGCCAGGTGATGAACATTTGCTCACCCAACTTCCCCTCGCCTCATGTCCAGGACCAGCGCCGGCGCGAAGAGCGTGCTCGGCGGCGGCTGGAGGAGTGATGCGGAGACCCATCGAAGACGCTTGGGACCGTGTTTTTTCTTAGTGCCTCCAACCTAAGAGCGATGGCCTCCAACCACGCTTGGGATGGCTCTGTTGGATGTGTGGGGCGTACCTGGTTGAGAACTTGCTTGCAAGAGGCTTTTTTTGGAGCTCCCCCCATCGGATGCTCTAGGCTCTATAGTATAGGCTCTAGGCTGCAGGGAGGAGCATCAATCCATTTGCCACCGCTGTGGAGTAGCTGAATCAGCCAAACTGGCGGAAAGGTCAGGATTTGGGTCTGGTGCGGAGGTGTTGGTCTACTGTACAACTTTTGTTTTCCTAGGCTTTTTTTCTTGGTTTTACGCAGCAAGCTTACAATACAAGGAAAACAGAAGCAGGATTGAAAGTAGTCGCAAACCTGATTAAGACGTTGATATATTGCCAGCCAATCTCGCAGAAGACAGCTCCTTGCCAAACAGGCAATGCTAAGTGTGGCCAGCTTGTGAGCTTGGCGGGAGGCGTGCAACAGCAGAACCGGCAGAGGAATTTCGAGCAGCCTTCGCGCAGCCTGTGTCATTCTGGAAAGAATCAGGCACAGTGCAGATGATCAGAGCTTGCAAAACATCCACAAGTTGCTTGTCGACAAGGAAAGCATGACCATGCTGGCGCTGCGCCCTGCAAAGAGCCGCAGCTTTTTGCATGTCATTCCAGCATCTTACTTTGGGAACAGTCCTCCTGAGGCGCAGGATTGGTTTTGATGCTCGTCACTCCTCAAATGAAGACACTTTTTGAGACTCTGAATCGGTCAACACCGTGGAGTGGGGACTTTCCTCCACTCGTGTCAGCACGTTTGTCTCGTGTCGATGACCGAGACCTCCCGGTGGCGAGGGGTGAAGAGCTCGTTGTTTCACGTCGTCGCGATGATGGCGATGATGGCCATACAACGAGATTCCACCGGATGGCATGTTAAAGCTGTTGTTAGGTGTGTTTCACACCCGTTAGCTTGGTCAAACTGTCAACCGTTGTATACCGTGGTATACCGTACCCGGTGAAGGTCGCTTGGGGTGACTTTGTGTGCTATCTCAACTTGCCAGAGTCAGCACCTGAATCACAGGTGCTTATACAATACGAGCTTCACACCCTGGTTGATGTGCGGACTTGGGTGCTGAATAGGGAAGGACAATACAAGAGCTTCGGCGGCCTAAAGCAAAGGAATATATAATATATATAAATAAAGATATAAACATATATAAAATATAGTTGCTGTTGGTATTGGATGATTGACTCACTGTGCCGACCATCTTGACTGATCCAGCGATTGCATCGACACTTGCAAAGGAGAAATTCAGGAAGGAGGCGAAACAAAGCGCACACTTCTTCAAGCCTGTGGTGAACAGCTCGGGGCGCTCGGTTCTTTTGTCCTTTCTGCCGAGAGACGAAGTGGGTCAGACTCAGGTTGAGTGCACTGCTGTTAATTTCGGTTTGGGGAAGTTTCCTTGGCTTTCTATTCTTATCTCGGCATGACAATATACTGTAACTATTTGACTATAGGTGAAAGGCGGGCATCATAGAGCTTTAAACGTTAAAAGTAGCCCGTCGGCTGTCTGCTGGGCTGTCCTAAAGTGAGGCTATCAGAACATCGGTAGCCGCATCAAGGTTTTGGAGGAGTCCGGTCGAGTTGCTTGAGTCGTGGGTGAGATTTGTGTGATGCTCAGACTCAGTGGCCCAATGGATCTTTGCGGTCCTTTTGGGGGTCCTTTTGGGGTGCTTTGGGGTCATTTCGACATGTCCAACTGGATGGTCTTCCCAAAAGACACCCAGATGGAACACCCAGCTTTATCTCATCAGCCCTGCCTTCTTTTTCTGCAGCAGGCGTCCACGGGAGTAGAAGAGTAGCTTGAGTAGATGGGTTCAAGCAAGAAGCAGCGAATGACTTGGTGCAATGACTTGGACCTCTCCTCGCGTAGCTCCCGAGTCCGCCTTGGGACCCACAAAGAGGTCGCACTACACCTCGAGATGGCACGAGTTTCGGTTTGTGTGAAGACTGTTGATATGCTGCATTTGAAATATCACTGACGATGTCTAACGATATTGTCAATTTCCATTCTACTCGGTGTGTAGCCGCTGTAGCCGCTTCATTTGGTTTTGTCCTCAAAGGATTCAGTGTCGCCGCGTCAACATCGCAGCGTTCGTTCCGTGCAATCTTCAGGAGCCTGACACCTACTTGGAGCGTGTCTCGCCGGGGTTCCCAGAGTAGTCTGCGGTCCTGCAGAGATTCCACACGACATTGAGCAATCATATCCCTGTCAATTTACGAGGTTTTGGTGTATCCCGGAATCCCCAGTACTGCAGGACTTTGACGACCATCAATGGTATGCGGTATGCTGCCAATGCAAGCTCAATCACTCCATTGGCCCTGTCCAATCACCGCAGTTTGGCTGGAATGTGGTTCCCTTAGCATGCAAAGAAACTGCTGGCTTCTGCAACTGAATGGTGCAATGTTGTGGGCCGGACCACTGCAAATCCATTCCCTTAATTGCAGCAAGGATTGTTGTGTCCGCCATGATGTGGAATGAGACCATGGCCAGTTTTTCATAGGAAGCAGGGCTTCCTTCTAATGTGAACATTGTGAACTTGAATCGGTGAGCGTTGAGACTTTGGCACCGCTTTTTTTCCCCCAAAACAGCAACGCCACTCAATCTGCAAGGCGTCCAATCACTCATGCGCCGCATCGTTCGGCACGAACGCATATTGCAAACAGCCGACATACGTGGACGAATCGACTTGACTTGTGAAGCCCTGAAGGGTTTGGTCATCTTTCCTATAGACCCCCAATTTTGCGAACCCAAGACCCTTTAAAAGCAGTCATTCAAAGCACCTATATAGTTATACATTATATAGTTTGGACAGATCTTGAGGCCATTGAAAGGTGTCTCAAATCTGAGAATCCCCCGGAGCCCCCACCATCGCCCGGTCTCCGGTCCGTCTGGGTCCGTTCTCTAGGCGAACTCGGGAACGTGCCCTCCAGGTCATCAGGCGAAGGGACAAGTAGCAGTGTCCAAGTCATCGAAGCTTTAGATAAAGCCGGTGACTTGAGTAATTCATGTATATAAATGTAGTATCTATAATATAGTGGCCTTTTGGACATATATCATGAAGCTGGTTTCACCTGAAGGACAGCTCAAGGCATGTGGATTCTCAAATTTGTGATCTGAGACAGACTTCTTTGGCTTCTTGAGAGGCACTTGCACAAGCCACCCGCCCAATCCACTTGTTTGCTGGAGTCTGGTGGTTCATTTGACTCATCACTTCCATCTAGCTCGGGGGCCGACTCCAGCTGTGTTTTGTGAGTTCGCTGAAGATTTAGAGCACACTGCTGTGGCTGGTTGCTCTGTAGTGCCCCTTTTGGTTCTATGGCTGGACACCTCTCCGAGTGTCACTGTATCTGATTCTTTCATGGTATGGGGATGAGTGAGGTATAGGGCGGCCTGTCCGTATCCCAAAGCATTTCTGGGAGAATGAGCTTCCTGTATAAGCAAGCCGCCTTGGTGTGAACCGCAGCGCCTATCTCATTTTTTGGACGCAACCATGTCAGGAACCAATGCAAGGAGGACTTCAGCTTCAAGCCGAAGGCCGTGCCATTATCGTTGTTTATGATGCTGGGAAGCGCTGGTGAGAGAAGCATTTTTAGGGGTATTCAGCCATAGTAAAGAGACTTTGGAGCAGGTTGGCAGATCGGTCCCGCAGCAGGTTCTGGAGCAAGTTCGGAAACAAGTTCCGGAGCAGGTTCTGAAGCAGGTTCGGAGAAAGTTCTGGAGCAGAGTTTCGGAGTAGGTTCCGGAGTTTTGGGGCAGCTGCTCACACATTCAGGAGGTCTTTGCAGATATGATGAGATGCCGCTACGATAATGTTGTCACAGCCTAGTGCTGACGCGTCATGCTGCTGACCTGTTGTCGCACTGACATGTTGACATGCCGTCAGGCTACCGTACAGTCTGGCCTGATAACTACCGTGTTATGCTTTTGACACGCTAAGGTGTTGCCATGCCCATGTGCTGACATGGTGTCGTGTTTGTGTGGTGTGTGTACTTAAGTTTACATACAGAATGCTGTCATGCAGACGTGTAGACACCCTGCCATGATCCATCTGTTAGGCTGATATGGTGGCGTGGTGTCACACCGACAACTTGTCAGGCTGTTATGCTGACGCATTGCTATGCTGGCATGGGCCACTAACATGCTACCGTTACCACGCGGGTCATGCTGTCGCTCTCACTTCTCGGCGGGCTCCGAAGCTGGGGCTCGAAGAGGTTTGCTTTTTGCTTGTTGCGGTGTTGTCGTGCCTACACATATGTGGGTGCATGTGCTACTCTGACGAATTGACGTGCGAATATGCTCGCATGGCACATTGAAAAGGCTCACACTTTTGAAAGCAGCAGTGTCTAACAAGCACACACCGCTGGTCAATAACCTTGCAAATGTCGCAAGTTTGTTGATGCATGTTGCCATCGCTTAATTAGCAAATTCATGCCCAGCTGGGCTTATGTCTGGGGTGAACTTGTTCTTGGGTGCAAAGAAGCTTTCATGATTCATGACCTCCCCCAAGAAGTACAAAGAAGGCAAGAAGGCTGGAAGGTTAATTATCGAGTTTGGGGCCACCTTGATTTTTATCCCAAATCCACCCAAATCCTGCACACTTGTATGTATGGAAGTCTTGTTCCGCAGGGTGCCACGAGATTTGAGTATACGTGACTGTATCTTAAATTAGTTCAGGAAACCTCCCAAATCCTTTGGTTGGGTGTCTCCCTATTAAAAGGCACACCCATGTAACCACGTGACTTGTTGGAAACGGCCTTTCAGCTGCAAAAAGGCTGAGCCCACTGGTCCGCCAACGCCCACAGGTTCAGCCCGCGCCCTCCTTGGTGCAGCGCATGGCAAGGCAGGGTGTGCGACCTCGAATGGTGCATTCACTACCAGCTTGAGAAGTTCCACTTGAGCCTTGCCGGTTTTCACAAACGGTTGCCACAAAACCGCGTCAAGTGTTACTGTACAACAGAACCTCCCGTTGATTCACATATTGATGGATTTCATGCTGCGATTGGTCCAGCTTTTAGATTCACGCCTGCGCGGATGGTTACCCTTGTGTTCTTTCACCCCGTTGGTGACGACTTTCATGACCAAGGTCTGTGGCTCAATAAGGCAGTCCACAAAAGCTCCACTAGATGAACGCTTATGGTTCCCGACTCATTTTGAAAGAAACTTATTAAGTTAAATGAAGCTCGGGTGTACATAAGATCAAGCTCGGGTGTACAATAAGATCAGCTTCGAACTAGTCGCAGCACTCCTTTGCCACTTGAGATGTTTTCTATTTCTCTCATTTTGTAGAGTATTGCTTTCATGGTAGGCCCTCCCAGGCCTACCAGTCGGTTCCTTTGGAGCATGATCAAAGAGGCCTAGATGTGTTCAGATATGTTCCCTAGCTATCAATGAGCAAGTTCCTTTTGGACTCCCGATCCTGTTTGGTTTTCTGCCGCAAGACCATGATGCTGTTCTCCTGCAGGTCCCATCGCGCTCTTCGGGAGATGCGCCACTTGGACACCAGAGAGCGGGGAGGGACAGTTGCTGAACCCTGACCTCTTGAGAGCTGCGTGACGAAGTTTCTATTGCCACGTTCTTTACCTGTTGAGCCAGACTTGGTCTAACATTGTGCGCAAACCGAGCCGGCGCCAATCGTTGGAGAAACGAAGCACCAACGCTTCGTCGTTGTGGTTGGCCCTGGAGCGGTTCGCTTCGGCAGTGGAAGCCAGGGGCCCGCAGTGCTTGTGACAAGAGGACGAGTCTCATGGGAACGAGATGAGACGAGCTCCTCCCGAGACAAAGAGGATGGATTCTCTACAGCGCCATCCATGGGTCTTTTCCAACTTGGATCAATTTGGTGCTCTGGCAGTTGACTGACTGGGTGGATTTGCATGTGTCGAAAATGAGACACAACTGGAAGATGATGTCCATCAGCGCACTGTGTCGTGTGCCAAAAGTTCCACCCTGGCAGGAATGCAAAGTCAGGTAGTGGCAGGCATTGCTCTCCACGCTCGATTTCCCCTCCGTTTTCGGTAAGACCAAGCACAGCTGGTAGGTCTTCATCCTTCCCAATTATTTCCCCTTGAATACAATTCCCAGCCGATTGGCATGGTTGGTGGCCACTCCTCATCATGCTTCAGTCTTGACCCACAGAAATCCGTCTTCGGTCTCAGCGATGGGTGACCTGCCACCAATCGAGACGACCATGTTTGGGTGTCAACCTTGTGCAAAGGTTACGTCAATGCCCAAGAAACAAAGCGAAAGACAACCCCAAGATAATCTAGTTGCATTTCATTTTTCATGAATCTTTTCATGAATCTGCGTGTTTACCAAATTTCATGTCCTTTTCCTATCCCTTTTGCTTGGCCGTTTGGCCGTTTCACTTCTTTTCACCAGGTGAAAAGGAGAACCGCTCCAAGGCGCGAAAGATTCGCTAGCTGAGCGGAGCAGCTCGAGGTCGTACACAGCCCTAGCAGAGGAAACACGCAGCTCAGACGAGAACAGCTCTGAGTTTTTGTCTCATCCTAGTTGCAGTCTAGGGAAGGAACAGCTCATGGGAAAGAACACCGAATTGACACAAACAGTTCCTTGAGTCTTTTTGTCGTCACCGCGAGGCATCTTCACGGCCCGCTTGGCAGTCCTCAACGCTGCTAGAGTGAACTCTGCAAGTCTGATTCGATACGACTCGTGTGCTGAAACCACAAGATAAAAGCTTGATCCATCTGTATCCGAACAAGATCTGCATGTGTTTCTTAGGATCTACCAGCTACTGTATATCTAGCTAATTGATGTCTCCGGGCTGCGAAAGTGGCACGGTTCTGTCAGAGTGTGATCCTCAAACCAAACCTAATGTTCTCAACTCAGTCAAATATGTTTCAGCACAGCTTGAAATTCCATGAACTCCCCAAGTGGCGCAAACAGATTGCGCATGGCCGTATGGCCAAGACATCGTCTCACTAGCGCTGCACCTGTGCCCTCGGTCCCACGAGTATCCCAAAGGTGTGAAGCACATCAAACAACATCTATATATGACCATTTGGGCCTTTTTTAGCCAACTCTTTTATATAATCAGTTTTTGAATCACATCTGAACCCTCTGACTCAATAACATGTTTGGCAGAATACAAACATTTGCAGTGTTGAGTTTCTCAGTCGACTGTCCCATAAAGATCACATACTTACTTATGTAGCGCCGCGGTTTTACACTTCTTTATCTGGGGTTCTCATGTTTTCTGTCCTGCTAATGTCTTCGCTGGCCCGGCGCAGCGTGTAATTCGCAACGTCTTTGCGGGGTCGTTGCCAACCGTTCGCGGTGCGTTCATTCGACGAAAAGGATGATGAAGAGGACATCGTGTTTTTGAGGCCCGGTTTGGATGCCGGAAATCAGATCTTGGGTTTATCTAGGAGCGATGGCAACTGTCGTTCTTCACTTCAGCATGCCTCGGCCCCAATGGCGTTCGAACTGATCGCAACAAAGGACCTCGGGGGTAGAAATCCACAGCGACACCGGCTTCGTCGAATCTGCCTTCAAACGCTTGCTTGGCCCAATGACTGGGTCACGAAGACCTGCTGGGTGATTCGTTTTGAAGTAAAGAGGTTCAAACGAGGTTGGCTTTCACATGCTTTCGCAAAGGTCTCCAGTAGATCTTTCACGTCTTCTCATTTGAGACGCCAGGCCAGCTCGGAACTCGTCTCGGAACTTGTCTCATTGCTCGTCTTGCTGTGCAAGATGTGATGGAGAAGCGCGGGGCGCTCGCTCGGGAGTGCTTTTTTGAGCTGCGCATGGAGGAACTCAATGCTGTTGTTCCCGCAGAACGCGATGAAGAAATGTTCCAAGAGATGAAGAAGCAGCTCAGGCAGCAGCAGAAGATGGACAGGGCATTTGCAAGCGGTCGCGAGGCCCTGGAAAAAGATCGCCGTGAGGCGGAAGGGATTGATTTTGTTGAAATGTAATTGAATTCCTTAGGCTGCAACTCACAACAACACGCTAATGCATGAATGAGTTGTTCTCAATGATGCTTGTAGACAGGTGATGTGCTTCTTGAAGACGAATCGTTTTCCTTACGACGTCAACTTCATGCGTGAAGAAGGCTGGAGCAGTGCAACTTTCAGGGGGAGTGGGGTGGATTACACATAGACGAAGCCCCAAACGAATCAATTGCTTGGAATTGTCTGAGCCACCTTTCATTTGATCCAGATGTTTCACCCAAGCCCTGCTTTTTCCAGGAGCACCTTTTTGGTTCACAAGAGCTACCGCTCCCTTGCATGAAGCAGTCAAGCAGAACCAGCCGGGCATTGCCGCAAAGTTGTTGATGTTTGGTGCTGATCCCATGCAGCAAGACTCTCAGAAAGATTGCCTTGGACTACGCGCAACCAGAGACGCATGAAGAAGTCATCAAGGTGGGCTTTTTGCACTTTCAGACCGTCTCAGACCTCAAGTTTTGATTGTTGTTGTTGTTGTTGTGGTGGTGGTGGTGTTTCACATTCTGATTTGACGAAAGTGTGAATCGGACATCGTCGGACATACCTTTCATCTTCCATTACCGCTCTCTGAAGGCATTATTGAGCTACGGCCATGCCGAGACATTCGAGCGTCATGACCTGGTCCCCGCACCTGGGCCATTGAGTCCTTTTCCAGTGCTGCAAAGAAAGCTTCCCAGCCTGGTGGCAGATGCCGGTCGAGCCTGTTGCGCGACTGCCGTGCCAATTGCATCGCCCGCATTCGTTGAAAGACCTGACACTGTGGTGGCAGTGGTGGGTCTTTGTTCAGAATGTCTGTCTCCACAAACAGGGTACGCAAAACCTTCATCAAGTCTTAGTGCGTCAAGGGGTTGTATGTTCAAGTAGCAGTTTTTATCCTTCCAAGTTCAAGTTCCGTGAGTATTAGACCACTAAAGCATGCTTTCCAAGTTCCAAGCGGTCGCTCTTCTTTCTGACGATGTTCCAACAGACCTGCCGCTGGGACTGGAGTTTCCAGGTGCCGAAGAGTGGGGCAGCGAGACGTTTCCCGCTCGGCTGGGCCGGCTCGTGAAGCTGGGCAGCGTGTCCCGACCACGACGTTTTTCATGCCTTCTCGCTTTCCCTCATGTGACTGACGTGGCAGTGCCAAAGTTACAGTATATCGTCGTTTGATCGACCAACTGGCGATGATTGGAAGCTCAGGTCTCAACTCCTGTCCTTCAGGACCGTTCCACGTCCATGTTCCCGGGGGGCACGTGATCCGTGAAGAACCTGGTCGCGGAATGAAGAAGATCCGGCGCCCCGAAATCGGTTCACAGATCCCGTGGCTGGTTTGAACGAAGCGCCATGAAGGGGTTTTGGAGGGTGCAAACAAGAAACTCCAAAACTGAGGGGCGTGGAGGTGCTGAGCGGTGTGTGCTGTGTGCAACTCTGAACTGCAAACCGAATTGACTCATGAAATTGGCCACATGCACCAACCACCTCTGTTGGAGGTCGTTGGTTATGAGGAATTTCATCCGTAATTCGAGGGACACTATGTGACTATGATTGACTATGTGTCTTTCACACCTACAAAGCTGCTCTTGTCGTTGGTCGGACCCCAGTTACATCGACAGTCGAATGCGGACCCCAGTGACGACGTGTCGCTGCCGGGCGGAGTGTGGTGGGGTTGGGCACGGTCGCCTGAGAAGTCGAACACGTCTCGACGTATAGTCGAACTGCCCAGCACACGTATCGAGTGGAAACTGCGAGGGGTCCCCTGCCATCAAAGGATTTGGTTCTGAGATGAGCCATGCCTTTGATGCCACCCAAAGCATCTGTAGTTTCAGATTGAGATACGTGTAACCGACTCAAAACAAGCGCAACAAATCTTTTGACTCAGTTGGCTCTAGAGCACCTGTGGGAAGAAGCAACATCAGTTCCAGGCGCCAACAAGGTTTGCTCAGGATGGCGCCTAGACCAACGGAGCCGCTATTAGCCGCTATTAGAATACTGCTCAACACTTTAGCGGCCCTATGCAATTAGGGGCCTCCATCGTGTGAACTCAGTGTCTGAAAATCTCAGATCGAATTGAGCCTGTGCAAGCCGCTGACTCACTGGGTCAAAGCCATCAACTGCCCGTATGAGTACCAAGCGTCCGTGAGACATGCAGCTTCGCAAGTGCGCAGATGGTCAACATCTTCATCTTACGCTAGACGTGGGTGGGTTCAGCTCCTTGCAGTGCATCCTGTCTCGGACTTTCCCAGCATCCATCCGACTTTGGAACCGAAGAAGTTTGACCATTGCTCTTGAAAATGCAAATGATGTATTTCGGCTGCCGGTCCCAAAAACTCCACCGATTCGAGTTCAATCGGTGGCTGGATGGGCTGCCAAAATAGCTATATAGGTGGCTCCATGATCCATGGGGCCAACCGTCAGGGAGAGACTCCCACAAAATGCCCTGACTTTGTGGTGTGTCAGCGAATGGACACCAAATAAACCCCGACAGCAGTCTTTAGGTGACCTGGATCGTTAATGTGAGTATGTCAGATGTATACAGTATATGTATACATAAAGGTTCCACGACACATGTTCTCTTCCTCTGTACCACACTGCCTTCCACGGCCTATTTTGTCCCATCGTTCAATATCCTTTCACTGACGGACATGACCCATTCCTGAACCAAAGGATACTTCAGGATCTTCAGGACACCAAATGTCTTTGTTTACGTACTTTGGCATGGATCTGAACACAAGCTCCCAAACTGAATGGATCCTTGATGAAGAAGTGCCACCCAAAAGAGTTCAAACACACTAGTTTAATCTAGGTTATGGAACAATGTGTATATCATATATGTATATTACTAAACTGGTTAATCTCTTCCGTCCGTTGACCAGCCCCGTTTTGCGGACGGACTCGTTCTGCCCGACACTTCGCTGTGAACCAGCGAATAACTCAACGGCGATCCACTGAAATTCATGTCCCAAAGCATTATACTTGCCATTGACAACACTGCCGTGTGTCTCAAAATCAAACGATGTCTATTCTATAGATATTCAACATAGCTTGACTCTCCCAATCGTCTCTTTAAGCTAGGTATCTTACGTAAATCTGCAAAAGAGCAAACATTCGGTGTTTTATTCCTAGCAAAGAAGCATGCTGCTTCGAGGCAGTGTTTGTGGGCCAAGCACAATTAAGGGTGTCTTTTGCCTGCGAGAATGCTAGCCCAAGTTGAACGAAACTGAATTGGGAAACTCCAAAATACCCAACATCTGAACCAAAAACTCATGCAATAATATATATATATATATAATAGAAAATAGGCTTCGAACGTGAGACCCAACTCTACCAAACATGATGCATCTCGAACCGTTTCCTGCGACCATGTCGCGCGCATCTGCGCAACACGGGCTTGAGTGATACAAGGTGGGCATGCCTTTGTCAAGCGCCTGGCAATGTTTGGTGTCTTTTTGCTGGCACATCGTGCGGGGCGATCCGCTCCAAATGTTCAGCTACTCCTCCAGCAACTGCCTCACCACTCAAACCGCGACTGCTTTGCAGTCAACGTCAAAAGCTAAACGTCCCCACAGCTTGCCCCCGCATGTCGCTTGGCGAGCTATGACTCCCGGGAGTCCACGGGATTCGTTAGCACCCACCAAAGTGCAACCAATGGTCCTTCACTCTTGGTACGTGTAGGCCATTCCTCAATACCCAGTGCAACATCACTATAGAGACTCTATAAAGGACAACTTGGGGTCTGCACAGCCGTAACAGCCTCAACAATGTCACAGCCATTCGATTGCATTTGTATTTGATACCATCGTTTCTCTGAGAAAGGCTCCGGAGAGAACCGCTCTCTTCTGAATGGCTTGGCTCAAGATAGAGATATGGCCACATGGGCAGAATCGCACAAAAAACAGAGGAACTGATGGACATCGAGTTTTTGGTTGATGATTTTTTGCATAGCCAGGCCACCCATGTGCATCTAACCAAAGAGCTACAGAGCACCTTTTCTGCCTGGGATCTCACTTTGATCGGGGCAATTGCTAAATCTTCCATTTGCCTGGTTAGTAACTGTCAACTTTCCAAACAGCCCGAGAACATCCCGGTTGTAGAGATTTGCAGTTCCTATCAAGTTCCATAGTAGTAGAATGGTTTGCTATTGGTCGTCCTAGAGTATCAAGATGACTGTACTCAGAAACCCATCAGGTGTCAGTACCACCAATTGTTTTGTGTTCGATTAAACGGAAAAGCTCAGGGTTTAGGGCTTTGCTGGAATGGCTGTGTGTCTCTTTAGCTTGCTGCATGATACAGCATGCTGACGACATGCTGACAACATTAAGCTCTACAGCACATGACAAACGCGGTTTTTCAAGGGGTATCTCTATGATTACGCAGTCCGGTTATCTGTTTTGCAAGATCACTGCTTCATGGCCCACTGAGCAGTACCGGCATCTCATCAGCACGGCACGGGCACGGCACATGCGGGGAAGAAGAGGTGTCAGTCTCCCTCCCAGGAGTGAGACCACAACCCCCCCGGCTACTAGTAACAAGTGCATCGCTACTAGTAACAATGGCATTACTAGTAACAAGAAGCTACTATATAGTAGAATTCTCTCCTCGGATCATCCTCCCTCGAACCTAGCTGCCGAGCCCGGTTCCGGTCCCTTCGACTGCAGGGAGTTCGTTTGGTTCGATGGACCCAAGCCTTCGTTCTAGTGAGTCAGTTCGTGGACCGCTTGTCAGGTTTCTTTTGGGGGCTTGAACCACAGGATCACATAATTACTAGACACATTTCACCTTTGAACAATCAACTCGACGATGAGTTCGGTTGGTCTTCAGTGATCCCAAAGCAGAGAGATATGACACCCACCCCATGAAACAGTGACTGCTTGAACATGCATTGGACATGTCATGTATTTGTTTCAGATCTGCAGCCAGTAGGGAGGATGACACCAGTCAGGTTGCTCCGTCCATTTGCCGTCACCTCCCCAGTTTGAGATTCTGGAAAGCCTCCGCGAAAAGAGCAACTGGAAACCAACTGTAACTCTATTGTGCCACTATGCGAACTACCCAAGAAAGATCGGAGCTCCCTGTCATGGTTCTTCAAAAGAATCTCAGTAGTGCATCCCTACCCCACCAAGCCTCTGACCACTGCATGGGTGTGTGGGAGCGAGGGATTTGGGGTGCAGCATGCCTAGGATGCTGATGTCTTAAGAACGGGGACATCCAAATTTCAATGAGAAGAGTCGGAAACAGCAACAGCATGCAAAAACAACCTCTTTAAATACAACAACGACATGCAGTGAGGCCTTCCCCCAAAAAGATAAGCGGTCCTTGAAAGGAGACCCATTCGTTCGGACTTGTTCAAGATTTGCTGGTCGCAGGAAGGCACCGACCCACCTTCTAATCGTTCCGTGAAAAAATCACAAACCCCGACGTCTCTGATCAGCCTCCACTATAAGAACTGTTTTTCCTTTGGCCACGACCTAGATTTCCACCGCTGAGGGCCATGTTCTTCTTGTTGGAACTCCACACCTATCTTCTTGTCGCAAGCTCAGGCTTTCTCTCGGGAATGAAGGTGCTGAGAGTGGTGGAGTATCAGCATTCACCATCCGTTCAAGATTCTATTTTTTGGATGCTAAAGGATGCGACAAAAGGCACTGTTTCCAAAAGAATAGTGACATCACGTGACCATCGTCCCACCATGTTCGACACCCAAAGAGTGAGCCTTGGTCGCACAGCGTGTTCTTTTTTCTCTAGAATCAATCAGCATGAATCACCTAGAAATGGATGGCGGCATGATCACAAATCCTAGCAATTGACACGCTCCCGAGGCAGATTTCGGAAAGAACACGGTTTCTTCTTCTTCTTCGAGTCGGTTTTCATTGACACCTGGGTATGACCAAGCCCCGTGAATTCCTCGGCAGGTTTGGAAGATTGTAGAACTGCCGATCATGTTGAACGGTTAGGGGATTTCATCAAGATAGATCCTGGGGCTTGCGGTTTTTCTTTCCATAGGTGTTGGAGGGATCCTGTTCGTTTTGTTCAAATCAACGCGAAACGAGGAGGCTGGGATCACGTCGTGGTGTCGCGTCTCTACGCCTGCGCTCAGGTGAGACCAGAACACCTGGGCCCAGGCTACCATGACCATTTGCAGGATCAGCTCCGACAAAAGGCAGGGGGAGCATTTCGATGAGTTTCGCTGCTAGCGATTTATTGGACGAAATGCCAAATTTTTGAAACACCATTGGACACGACACATGTGTGTTTTGATGAAAGACAAGGTTGGATCAGAACCCAGAACACCCAACACTGGGCCTTTTGATGACTTTCCCTGTTGTATCTTTTTGTCCTTTCCACGGACTCTGTTGACGACCATGTCTGTCTTGTTGAACACCTGCTGAGCCAAAACACCCACCTTCCAGGTGGAGGGCAGTGTCCAGGACAAGGCTGGCTTGATCATTGCGGTTGAGCACAGCGAGCCGCGAAGCAGCAGGAACATGCGCAGACCAACGGACGTGCTTCGACCAACGCAAGAACTGTGACGAATGCACGGGTGATTGGAGCCGCCGAGGAAGAATTATACATATTTATACATATATAATTGATAGTTGTGAATATAGTCTATTAATAGTATACAATTCATTGTCATGATTTGTTTGCGGAAGACTCTGGGGTTTGAGATTTTCCGAACCCTCCAAAAGTTTGTTCTATTTTCTGTAACAAATGTCATGTTGCACTGCGAAGTTTTTTTGCGCTGCGGAGACGGGTCGGGTTTTCGCGTGCTTTCCCCATGTTGCTCCCTCGAGTGAACCGGTCAATTCGTGGTGTTGGGCGCTTAGGGGGAGCTTCAGACAGATGCACCTGAACTCCCAACCACCAGCTAGCTGGTGCGTGGCGGCTCTCCCTCCTCTGGTTATGGGCCATCTGGCCACACACGGATTCCCTTCGTACACCACCAGTTGCCCGTTCGATCGGCCCAGCTGCTGGGTGGTTCTGAGGCCGGTGGACAAGGGGAAGCTGCACGAAGGACCGGTACACATGGTAGGACGGCCTTTATTCAATGGCTTTCCAGGCCACCCCTTCAACCCCCTGGGAGTGTGCTTCCTGGGTTTTTCGATGACCGAAGACTTTTCAACCACATTTGTTTCGTCTCTCCCTCCAAGCATGGTCCGGTCAAATGGACCCACTCAGGGGCAGAAAGGGTTTGCCAATGTTCGTTTCAGGGTTTCTCAATGTTCCGCTTCCAGTTGAATGCAGCATGGGTGGAGTGTGGAATGATCCCTTCGGCCCAATAGGTGTTGTTTCCCTTGGGCTCGGTTCGGCTCGGTGAGGGGTGTGAAGCACCAAATGAAGCTGTAAGCTGTATTTTGGTAAGTGTTAGTATATATTTCGATCACTATATTAGTAAGTGTTTGGTTCCTCTGCAAAGCCATTGCTGCCATTGCTCATCCTATGTGATCTTGGTTTTCATACCTCAATTCCTTCAGATTTCCATCAATCAACATGGGATTTTGGCACGGTTGGTGCTTCGCTCGGCACAAACATTACAAACATGTTTTCCTCTGGCCTGTCTCACTCCACCTGCGTGGGTTCTTCAGGAACTGGGCTGGTCATGGTCCCCATGAAATATCGGGCTCTGGTCCTGCAGCTCTTCAAGAATGAGGCCGTTGCAGTCCGCCGTGCTGGTGAACCCAATCGGCTCGCGGCGAGCCCTCAGCGCGAGCCCGGGTGGGTTTTGCGGATGGGTGACCTTGCCGGATTGGTAGCTGAGGGAACTAACACCAAAAGGGTGGCAAGGAAGTAAGCTAAAGAGATGCCGACCATCCCCTGGTCCTTCAGGGTTCAGGCCAACCATATGGTTTCAAGCGGCACGTTCACCTCGCCATCCTGGATGCAGGCCTTCTCGTGACCCCCCTAAACCCCTTCTCGTGACCAGGTGGTGGATGTGGAGGTGACCGAAGTGAACAAGCTAGGCTTCTTCGCCGAGGCTGCGCAGGGCGCTGCGCAGGGCTGCGCCGCTGCGGAAGATCTGGCTCCCTCAACATGGAAGAACAAGGAAAGCCGATGGCCGTAGAATGACGTGAAATGGCCCAAGTGCCTAGCAAAATGCAGCTCCGCAGTTCAGCTCACCTGATTTGTTCACATACATCAACATGTTCATGAAATCGTGCCAGAAAGGGGTTCCAAGGAAAGTCGGTGGGAAAATAAACTTCTCTCTGTGACCAAACCACACAGGCACGGACCGAGGCCGCTCAAATTGAATGCCCACGGGCGACGCCCAACTTGACCATGCGAGTGGCACCAAAGACAGTTGCTTGGTTGCTTGGGCTGCCAGCAGTGGCTGATAGATTGCACGGTGCGTCTCCGATGCAAGACACACAAAATGCATGGATCGATTGAGAGATTTGATTTACTTGGCTGCGCGTCGATGGGTACGCCCCGCTTGGTGGCGAGGATTGGGCTACCTACAATCCTTGCATGCAATGGGTTGGTGCCGGGCCCACATACCTAGCAAGGATGCTACTAGGGGCTCCTGGCATCGCTACTAGGAGCAAGGACGCTACTAGGGGCTCCTGGCGTCGCTACTAGGAACAAGAAGCTTCTAGGGGCTCCTGGCCTTACTACTCTCTAATCATTTGTATCTATGTCTTTCATGGGTTCCACAGCGAAGTCAATTCTTGCAGCACATCATGGCGGCAAACACAGGCTCCTTGGTTCATGGTTCTCTCACGTCATTGTATTCAACCTCCACCGCTTCTTCTCATTCCCACGCAAATCGGTGAACTCGGGTTGGCCGCTCGTTCGCGCAGTAACTTGCTCAGAACTGCATGTGTTTGTTCTTCGTTATGACATGGAGTCCAATTTTATATTGGCCCCGTTCGAAAGCCCGTTCCTTGTGTGCAACCTTGTAACGGACATTAACACTGAGCAGCTGCAGAACGACTTCTCGATGGGCGAGGTAGATCGTGTTAAGGCAGACGGCAAATATACATCTTGTATCATTTTGTATCGTTGTGTTGCAATCGTTTCTTGCATTCTTAGTTCTTGTGGATTTTGTTTCCAGGTCTGTCTGATTGACGATTCTTGTTGGTTTTTGTTGGGTATGAATGGATAATGTACTGATACGTCTGTTTCATTTGTCTTCTTAAGGTTCTGATGCTTGGCGAGCAGTATGCAATTGCTGCCATAACATACGTAGATCCTCTATCTGCAGAGCGGGCCATTTTGGAACATTTTTGGTCTTTTTCGAACGAGCGCATACTGTACTTGTTTTTGCACTTGTCATTATGAAAGGGAGTTTACAGTATACATCCCCGGAGTGTTCTAGTGTCCTGTGTGTGTTCTTTGCTTGCTTGCTTGTTTGTTTATTTTGTGTCGGCACCACCTTCTCCTCACAAGCTACCCCTGTTACGCTTTTCCACCGACATGTAGACCAGAATCCGCGGTGGCAGTAGCGGATTCTGGTCCCGGCGCCACGTGTTGCCAGCTGGGCCCGGCGCGGATCTTTGTCTCCAAGTCGATGGTCCCGGAGGGCTGGTCCTACTCCGAGGCGGACGCACGGGGTGGACGTGGGGTGGACGAAAGGATTTGGGGTGGAAAGCTTGGACACGAAGACTTGAAACACCGGGAGAAGATTCCGTGTCTTCTGCCTAATTACAGGCCCTCTATCTACAAACTGGAGTCCTGTACCTTGATGCCTATTTATAGTTGAGCCTCTTGTACCACCAGCACCAAGTCGCCAAGCTTCTTTTTCACTCGTTTCTTGGAGGATTTTCCGTTTTCATGGTGAAACTCCTTGCGCCTGGAGCGGGGACCGGGGGGCCGTCGGTTCTCCCTGGTCCGAGGACGATGCCAGTTCCAGCTTCGTCGGGATGCGCAGAAGTTCCTGCCAAGCGATATGAAGCGAGATGAAGCGAGGAAAGACAACATGTGAAAAAGGCATAATTAGGGTAGCTCTTTAAAGACTCCAGTGTAAACTGTTAGGGTTAAAACAGGGAGGGGTTAATCACATCAAGGCATCAAGCCTGACCTGGTATTTGCTGAATCACAAAGACAGGTCTTGGCCAACCACGAGGTAAATCACCACAAAAGGGAGTTCAGTGAGGGGTCGTGTGTGTGTGTGTGTGTTTCTTTTTTTTCCGATGGTGCTTTCGGGGACTGTGTTGGGAGGTGCGAGGTGTAGGGTGCCCTTAATCCCTTAGAGTTTAAGTCCAAGAACTAGAATGAACATGAACGTCATCCAAAGCTGTTCTTGTGTGTGGCTTTGATCCAGAAGCTGGTTTCAGTTGTGGCTGCATGAGGGATGATGATTTGTTTTGAACTCAAACCAGAGCACACAAACATTCCACCTGCCACACAATGGTTCATGGCTATTTTTTGATGGGCTGGTTGTCAACTACCGCCAGTTGTAGTTATCATCACTGTATGTCATATTTGCTTGTAACTCATTGTGGTGATTGGCAATTCACGGTTCGTGATCCATTTTGACCAGTTTGGAATCCAACGGAAACGTGTTGGTAGCAGCTGTGTCCGACACGGAACCGACTCTCAGGTCTCTGCAGATGGCACCAAGGTGATCCGCCGCGCAGCTCGGCGAAAGGAATCGGAGTGGTTGACTAGGAGGTGTTCCTGTGGTAATTTGAGGGTTGATGACCTTCAATAAGCTCAGAAACACATCTGAGATTGAAGATATTGAAGGTATTAGGAGTATTTACAGTTACAATACTAATTAATGTTTTTTCGGATGACGCTCGACAAGAAGGCAGAAAACAGGCCAGTTGAAGTCTGAAGCCTACAAGAACGGACATGCGGTGCCGACAGTCGACCGATATTTTATCCTCAAGACATCAACCGTTCTTCATGGCATGAGGTGGGGTGTATATAACTCGTTTGGCATGTGCTGCAGAAAGGAGTACTGTTTATGGACAGTTTACCCAGAAGCACCACAGGACACCTCAATCTTCAAGCCGCTAGATTCATGCGGAACATGGGGATTCCTATGGTAACTTGGTGCAAGATCATTTAGCCATCAACCGCGTGCTTGTTCAAGGCAACTCACTGTTCTTGTGGCGCAACTCTTCAGTCTGTAATTAGTTTTGAGGTAGAGAACCTCCAAGGCAGAATGGTCTTCCAATTATACCTCTTCTCTTTGAGTTCTTTTGCCAATGTGGAGTTGTGGGGGCCCGGGCATCCGGGGGCATTTGCCTGGGTCAATTCAGGGCAGCGACGTGCGTGTGGGGGTGGCCCAGTTCTGGGGACAGGGTCAGGCCTGAGGGTTTGGTACCTACCTTTGCCATCATTTCTCATATTAGTCTCTACAAGATGGGACCTCCCACTTTGGTATTCTCTTCCCATTTTGAAGTACAAGACAGACCAGATCAGTCTGCAAAACGCGTCTTGGCCGCATGCTCGGCTTGGGCCCTTCCAGGCTCCGGAGTAACATTATTTCAGCTCCAGCGATCCAACCGCGAGCGATGCTCGTGAGTTCAACCAGCCAAGTGTTCCATCCACTCAGTGTCCATAGCAGCTAAGCTCGGTGAAACAACAGGGTACGATGGAAGTAAGAAGACAGCGAACTCGACAGCGCGAACTCGACAGCGCGCTGCGTCCACTTTTGCCAGACCCCTCAAGCCCCAAAGTGGTCCAACCAAGCATACCGTATACGCACTGGTAGCAGCCTACACCATGGTTGCTTGGCCATTCCGGAGCTGGTCCGTGCGAGCCTTGGGTCGAAGCATTTGGCACCCCATTGGCACCCCAAAGCCACACCTAACCTGCGTGCCAGGGGAGGTCGGGTGCTTCTTCCCATATGCCATTGACAGATACCAGACCTGGTGTTGCGGATCCGGTGAAATGGCTTTCCCTATGGGTGAATGCCCTTCTCAGGAATATGTGTTGATTCTTTCCGGGCTCCCGAAGCCAATCCGTTGAGCCTAAGCATTCCCCTTTGGTCTACTCGATGAAAAGGATCGGTCAGTTGACAGACAGACGACATGAGGGAAACGGATCCATGAAATCTCATGAGATAGCCACGGCTTCCTTCCGGATGATATTTGTGTCAACCAAGATGGAATGGATTTTGGGAGATGTGCCAGGCCATACACAGCAGAAGTGACTGGTCTCCCCACTCTCAGGTGAGATTGGTGGCGACCAAGCAGGCGAATGAGTTGTTCGGTGGTTGGTGTCCTATAGGGTTGGCCGTTCCTGGTTAGTTTGGGAGAACAGAGAATCAAGTGTTCTGCTTGGAAGTGTGAGTCCAAATTACATCTCTGAGCATACGTGGCATACCTACGTGTTTCGGAGCTGAGGTTGGTACTGTATAATTTGCCATATATATATAAATATGATTTGTATACATTATGCACATACGGTCACTATTACATACTATTGATATACATTCCTAGCTTTTTTCTGCACAGGACTCTTGTGATGCAGTGGTGGAGAAGTGGGATGCACAGAGTTAAACATTATAGCAGTTAGAACAGAGAGTCTTGTTTTGCCTCTTAATGTAATCCTTTACGCAGCAGGCACACCATCATATACCACGAATATCCTAGATGGACATCTCCTGCTTCCATTGGGTGTCGACCAGGGTCTTTAAGAACGTGACGGCGATCAATATCTAATTATGGAATACAACCCGGCTTTCGCAATAGGTGGCTTGACAGCAGCAAGAATATGATCCATCCAACAAGGGCGAAAACACACACATCGAGTCGAGTGAAGCTAAGATTGGACAATCTCTTCCCCAGGTCCATCTCATCGGTTCAGGGAAATGACAACAACTATTGGTGCGAACCAAAAATCGTGAGAACCGTGGTCGCTTTTTAAAGGATGCCAATACTCTGCTCACCTTTTTGATGTGCACAGCTGCACAGCCATTTGATTTTACACAAATCACCTTGGAGGAGCTTCCATCCACCAGAGCGTCCATCGCCGACGGGGCAACTCAGGACCAGAATCGCTTGAACGCCATTGGAACCACCATGGGTGAGTATCTGGGACCTCTCCATGCCTAGGCGCTCCGTCCGGACTCGGACGGAGCGGGAGCAGAGCGGAGCCACAAAAAGGTGCCGGGACTGGAGTGATCTCTGGCAGATGGTGTCGGATAATTAGGGGTACTTGCTTCACGCTGGTTGCCTGGTTGGCTTGGTTCGCCGGAAGCTGTTCATGTTTCGTGAGCCGCAGCAGGCTACGGGGTTGGACATGCGTAGTTTTGCCATGTGTCGCCATTCTCCAGCCAAATTGCAGGAATCTCTCAGCATAGTGGGACATTTTTCAGCCAGAAACTTTTGAAACTTTGAGAAAACTGAGAGATGCTTCCTTCTTTGCTAGATCGCAGATAGAGACTTTGAAAGATCATAACAGCCGTTCGAGAGAATATCCCTTGTGAAGCAGTGCAGTCAAAGAGCCAGAGTCCTTGTGAAATTCTTCGGTCCTCGAACACTTGCAACTTCCACATAGGCAGTTCAGCTATTTCTATTGCCAGACAAACATAATCAATTAATTAATCAATCAAACAATCAATCAATGAATCAATGAATCAATGAATGAATGAATGAATGAATCAATCCATCAATCCATCAATCCATCAATCCATCAATCCATCAATCAACCAATCAATCAATCAATCAATCCATCAATCCATCAATCCATCAATCAACCAATCAATCAATCAATCAATCCATCAATCCATCAATCCATCAATCCACCAATCAACCAATCAATCAATCAATCAATCAATCACGACTTTTAGTGAACGGATGTCACACCACATTGGCCACTTACCTTGGACATTCCTGCTACAAACTCACTTGAGTTCTGAAAGAACCCCTCGTAACAAACCATTGGGTCAGTGGGCACGACATCCATGGTAAGTCAATGGCTGCATGTACATTCACTTCCTGTAAAAATCAATCTTTATCTATCAGTGGCAAGTCTTCCTCTTTGGCACAACCCACCGCAACCTACTAATTAGGCATGTAATAGGAACCTTTTTGCACCGGTGCTTTCCCAGCGCCCCGATCTGCCCAAGTCCTCGACTCGTCGCGCGCCGCGCTCCTTGTTGGGCTCGAAGGCAACTTGCCGTCGTCTGGGGTTCTCACTGCCACCGCGCCTGAGCTCCCTAAAAGAGGGAGGCTTGGTGGCTTCATGTGTAGGGGAGTTGTAACTTAAAATATCTGTGAATATTAGCGCATCAGTCCATTTCTGTCGGGTGTTTTGACATGGGCTGCAAGATCTGGGGGTTCGTTTAAACTATCATCTCCCAGAGTTTTCCATGTCCTGAGGTCTACCCGGTGTTTTGCTTCAAGCTCCTAACATCACACGGGGCTTTCCTTTGAGCCTCGCACCGTTTCCTTTGCTCCATGCGCCTATGACGAGGCAGGAAGGGCCTTCTGGTTGGAGGGCGGTGTGATGAGCTTGGGGAGCCCGACGACGGAAAGCCTTCAACTCCCGAAGCTGGGCCTTTGCAAGCTCATGAGCTTTCAATGTGTCGCGCGTGCGCAGAGCGGCAGGAGGTTTTGTCGAGTGGTTCACGACTTGAGGCTTTGGCGGCTTTGGCCTTTGCTCTGGCTTTATGCGAAGGTGGGGATGCTTAGGATGAGAGGATATGAGAGGGGAGCGGAGGAACACGAAGAGATAGGATGGAAGGCAAGGTGTTTCTTGTGCCGGCTTGTCCCATGAAGCACAGTCTTGGGCAGTACACATGTCAAACATAGAACATCACACATAGGCGCCTGGCGGCAATTATCATATGCTGCTGATGGGGGGTGAGGCTGACAAGCCCGGTCGGAGTTCCGTGTGGCTGACAGCTTGAATACTAACAGTGCGGTTCCCACTCACTGTTGAAGGTTAAGTTAGCCTCAAACGAATCGAAGAGCCACTAGCTTCAAACACCTCCCACTTCAACAGCCCAACCTGGGCGATTCCAGGCTGAATTTCCATCCACCGACCACCTTTATTTGGGGGTTACTTCCCCCCCCCTCCATTTTGTTCGGGGTGCCCTAAACAAAAAGGATTGAACTCATGTTCTTCGCGATTGGACACATGAGCTGCATCTCTGGATCTCGCGGATCCACCGAGCCGCGGATCCACCGTCGCGCAGGCGCAGAGGAATGGACGGAAGCATCGCTTGATGCGGTCTCAGGCCGGTGGACACCGAGAAAGCGAGGGTGTCACCAGAGAGTTCACCTCTTTGCGCAGGGTGAGTGCATGAATATATATATATATATGTTTCTATATAATTCTATATGATATATGTCTCCAATCAATGTTTGAGTTGATTCTTCATTTTTCGTTGCTGGACAGTGATATTTCTTCTTGGTTCAATGCCTCTAGTCCCATAGGAGCAGCTCGCAGCAGTGGCGGTTGACGAGTCAGGAGGCAAGGGCTTCACATGGAACAGGGTCGGGGCGCGCGTCAGCGTTGTTGGCCCAACGCTGGTGGGTGCTGCTTTGGTTTGGCGAGTTGGTATGGCTAGAGGAAGCTCGAAGGTGAGTTATTTCAAGCTCCAACTTTTATGGGTTGAGCAGCGTAGCTTCCAGTTCACCATGACACTTAGTTGGACACTTAGTCACTGGTCTGACATGTTCTTTGGAATCTCTTCCGATGGATGACGAGCGATGCGCTGTGGTCCGAAAACCACTCGTTGCGGTCCGTGAAGCGAGGTGCTCGAAAAAAGGAGTTCAGCCAAACCATGCCAAACCACTCTCCATGGTTCCATTTGTTTTACATGTATGTGTTCTTAACATTATTTCCATTCTCGCTTTTTCTTGCAGTAATGTTTTGCATGGTCCATCATGGTTCCATGCTTCTTGTCCCTTTTGAGTCTCATGTGGTTTTCGCTTCTGGGTGGTGTGCCCCGTGCTGCGCCGGGTGGTTTTGAACCAGGCGTGGAATGCACCTGGAGTGATTGGAGTTCGGGGGCCCAAAAGGGTCGAGGATAGGGGCTCAGATCAGATGGCCTCAGGGCGTTTTGGCAGCGGTCCACATGGGATTGGTCGGCAGACTGTGAGCACTGTATCTGCATTTCGATGCAATCGGATGCGCATGAGCTGGGAGGTGCGAGCAATTGGCAGAAGCGGGATGGTGCAGTCCATCCATTCCAGGGTTCCAATCGCTTCAATACTTGGCCCTCCGATGCATTGGTGACAGATTGCCAGTCAGTAATGCTTGGTTTGGCCACAACAGCATGACCAACAAACTAGCGCCTTCGGCGATGGACTACAGGTCTAGGAAGAAGGCAGTTGAAGCTTCAGCCAAGTAGCCCAGGGCTATCCTGGTGAGGTGGCCAGAATTCCTCCAAGTCTTTGACACCTGAGTCTCACCCGAGTCTCACCATGGTGAGCCCGGTCTCCCCACCGACCAAGGTGCCTGGTCCTATTGCTCGGCCTCCTGCGGTGAGGGCCTTCAAACGCGGAAGCGCTGGGTCGCCATTGCCGCGTCCGGGGAACCCGGAGGAACCCCGAGGGACGGAGCGGAGCGGCGGAAGGAAGTCGACTTCACATGAAGGGGCTGAAAGGTCGGTTGCCACTCACATGAAATGATAGGTGCTCTATTCAGGGATGACCCCAACATCATGGTTGATGCGACTTTGAGTGTTTAAATAGATTGGTAAGCTGGACACATGGATCTCTTTAACCTTTTCAATGCGCGAGAAGTCGGTCCGGACCACGGTGTCCCCACCGAGGCAGGGCGGTGTGCAAAACTGCGACGGCAGCAGCGAGCAGCGCCAGAGCTGCGAAACGCCCTGTGCGCCCGGCGTGCAGTGTCATTGGGATGTTTGGCAGGAGTCAGCCATCCGAGGTGGAGGGGATCGGGAAAGGGATTCAAAGGTGTTGAGGCCTTTGTTGGAATGCAAGAAATTCAGTATGTTTAGGATATTTGGAGGCAAGAAGTGATCTTCACCCAGCACCGGGGACACTGCTTGCAACTCGCTCACTCCGATGGTCTGTGTCAGATTCTATTCAGGTTGGTGACTTTGGAGTCTATCCAGGCACTCACTCCGACCTGTTCAGCCTCCTTCAAGCGCTTCCCCTCACTGAAGTGACCCGTCTTCCCAAGCAACGACCACCTGTGCGGCTCGCGCAGGACTGGTCCGAATGCACAGCCTCCTGTGGAGGCTCCGGCACGGGGTGGGCCACACTTGGGGTGCGAAAACCGTTGAAGCAGCTTTGGACCAGAATTCTCTGGGCGAATCAGAGAGATACTGAGCTGCTGTGAGTCGCTCGTGCGAGTCCTCCGGTCATGTCACGTCTTTCAGGTGGCTGGCACCAACGGGTGCGGGCCCTCTCGGCCAGCTCCAACCGCACAGAGTGCAACATGGCCGCTGGACACCAGGCGCGGGACGAAAAAGCACCGTGGTGGCATAGTTTTGAGCACCGTCTGCAAGACGAGGTGTAGGGTTGGTGGTGATGTTTGATTTCTTGGAAATCAAAGCGACCTGCAAGTAGATTAAAGGAAATATCAACTTGCGCTTACCGGTTAACATGATCTCTCTTCAATATCTGCTGGTTGGGCCCAAGGTCACGGTCACGTCTATCTCGACTTACAGTTCAACACGTGTCGACATGATTTGGGACAGATCTCACACGAACAGCACACGAACAGCAAGTGCCTCTACCCGCCCGCAACCCCCCAGAGTCGCCGACTTCCCGAGAGTCGCTGCACAGGAGGAGCCCTGCAGGGAGACGCCCTGTGTCAGCTGTTGGTCCGAATGGTCTACCTGCAGTCAGAGCTGCAGCGGCCTGCGGACCCGCCGCAATAAGGTCGGGGACGACCAGGGCGGAGATGGAGGGAGGACCCGGCAGTTTAGCTATGTTTAGCTCGAGCTCTCCATGCTGAAGTTCGATGCATTTCGACTGGTCAAATAAGAGGACGATTTGCGAAAGTCATGTAGACTTCTGATTCATAAAGCTCCCCTGTTTTGGATGCACGCACTTGCGAACCGTCGATGAGCGGACGCGCCCACACTCCCCCTTCCCAGCTTTCTGAGGGGTGGAGGTGGGAATGAACAAAGTGTGACACCGTGCTATACAGAAAAGGAAAAGGTGAGAACCCATGTACAACTACGAGATCAATCCCCCGTTTTGGATTGAACTGGTTTCAGTGCCAGGCCAGTTGCCCCTCAGCCAGCCAAGAAGAGCTTTGCAACGTTGAGGCGACGGGGGACATGGCTGGGAGGGCCACAAGACCGTGATCCGATCTCCAAAGCCCTGAATTCATTGACCTCTCCCTGTCAATTCGATCGACGCGTGTTGAAATTGTTGGACCATTTTGTTTCCCAAATCTCAACCAACGAAGTTCCTTCGATCAACCACATGGGGATTTTGGGGAGATTGGACTCCAACTGCACCAAGCAAACCAGGTGCAATGTCCAGATGTTTGACATTTAAAAGACACACCTTTATCAATTCCTGTACTTTTACTTGACGTTAAGTCCTTTCCACCAGGGTGCTTGAGATATCTCTTTGAGATGGGTGCACCAGGTCCAGGGCAACGTCTCCAAGCGTCGATGCGTGACCCGGAAGTGAAACGTCTCCTCACGGCGGCCTCGACTGGCGACGCCAGGCCTGTGACTGCGTGCTCAGCGACTGGAGCGCCGGGATGCCGAAGCAACGATTTGGGGAGTGGATGCTTCAGTGGGGTTGGTGTTAAGCCAACAACTATAGTTCTGGTCTTGATTTACGGGGTGGGAACCTCCCACAAGTCTGGTAAAGCACGGCCATTGGATGAACACATATTTGAGATCACATCTACAGGACAGATGTGGTCGGTTGCTTTCCCCAAACAAATCGAACTCCGTGAAGAAAGATATCCACTTGTTCACCATCTTGGAGAGGAGGTTCATATCTTTCACATGTCGCGTGATTTTTTTTGGCTTGCTGCATGACACAGTGTCGGAATCCATTGCAAGGTCGGATGTGATAGACATTGATAGACACTGGACGTTTCACAGCTCTAAATCCCTCGTGGCGCTCCGCACCGTTGGTCACGGACGTCGCTCGTCCGAGGAGTGGGGCCTTTGCAGCGGACCGTGCCACGAGGGCCAGGCGAACGGTGCGAAGCCGGACCGTCCGAGTGATGTGAGGAACAGGAAGCAACAGGAAGCAACACCAATGAGGGGTTGCCTCTTGGGGTAGGTGAGTGGGCAACTGGGTGCGCCAACACCAGATGGGATCTCAGGTGGTAGCATATCCAACTTCTTGCGGGTACCTGCCTTTAGCTCCCGTGAGGTACGTTGAGCTGATGGGTCTGACTGCCGCAACCCGTCCTCGTCTCAGGCGGTGTCCAAGCGCACGCGGACTCCCCAAGGTCCGGATTTCCGGGTTTTCCGCGTGGAGACGGGGACGGAGAGGGGATGGGGAGCTTGGGCACCATACCTCGATGGGGTCAAGGAGTGTGCAGGGGATTTGGCTGATTGTCGCGGCGACTGCACATGGCAGCCGGTGATTTGTGGCTTGATGGACAGGTCTACAGCCCCCGCACAGGTCTGCAGGGGCAGGTTCCCACCCCACACTGGACCTGGCGTCAGCGGAGGTCAGTCAAATTGCGGCTCGGAACAGCTCCAAGAGGAGAAGAGCTGCGATTGCGTGGCGTCAGCTGGGGTGCCAAGCTCATTTCATGATGGTGTCGTGGTTTTTGGATTGGTCTTCTACCCTCAAGTGAAAGCACAGCGAATGCGCAAAAGTGAAGATGTGAAGCAACCCCACAGATATACATCACCAATTGTCAAGATTTTGTTTTGTGTGTGTATGCATCACTGGAAACCCATTTCCGAACTCGTCTTTGACCATCCATCCATTTGGTGGATGGACTTCTGGCTACGACACTCGGAAGCCTGAACTCTTCGAAGCCTCGGAGCCCAACCGAGCCTTGGAACTCGAACTGCTTCCGGGCCTGACGGTATACCACCGACGGAAAAAGACACGAAAAGACCGACGGTAGCAGCCGAAAGGGGCAGGTGGATGGATTCAATGGTATAACTGTACTACTATATCTACGATAATTACTTACTATACCGTATCCTCTTCAAAGAGTTGTATATTAAATTAAGCAATACCCTCCCTCCAACAAACATGGAAGTGGAACATGACCCCTTAGAAGACAGTTTTCCTCTACTAACAGGGGGTGCCATCCACTTCCTGTTTCAAGAGTAATATCCATACTAATCGGCTGCACTTTCCAATTGCTTGCCGGTCCCTTGGGCGATGGGGCCTGGCCAAACAGCCGAGTCCCGGAAAATCCCTCGGAATGGCCGAGCCCCCTCCACTGCGGATGGACTTCCTGTTAGGTGGTCAGTGCCAGTGTGACTGTGACCACCACATCAGAGGCATGCGACTGTGTCACGCATTGCGTGGAGTTGCTGGTTGAGTAGTCAGTAGTGGAACTTGCTTTTCTCCTGGAAACCCAAAGTCCCTGATGGTGGACGTGCTCAGTTTCTCATCCCCTTTGCTTCCAAGATTGCTTCTGAGGTATGTTCAGTGTCGCTTCACCTTTGAAGGTCGACCCCATCTGATAGGCTCAGATCCAATGAGAAGTGAATGGCAAGTACATACTTTGGGCAGGTTCAGATTTCAACAGGGGAAGATCACCAAAGGAAGATGTCTTTGCAGCACTGCGGTGTTTGTTGCCCCAAGTTTGGCATCCATCTTTGATCCTCAGACAAAAGCCAATTCGCTATTGTAAGCTTGAGAGGGCTGCAGTCCCAGTGGCACACCTTTGAACCCTTCCAAATGGTGAGTGTTGATGCTGTTGTTCTTCATCGGTGGTCCCATGCTTGCAGCTTGGAATACATCTGGTTGATTCTTTATTTCAACTCTGAAAGTTCTTCCATCAATCCAGCCGTGGCCAGCTTCTCTGCAGTTCTACCTTCCAAATCTTGCAACTTAACAATTATATATTGCTAGCATAAATCTTGGCAATCTTGTCAGCTTCAGCCCTGCGGAAAACCCGAACAGCACTGTCAGGAAAACGCTGCCACTGTTCCACAGACTTGTGGCTCAGAGTCCAAACCAAATTAACCTCTTGAGTGCTGTGACGAAGAGGTTCTCACAAGTCCACGCTTTAAGTAGCTTTACTCTGTGTAAGCTTCTTCCAACGTTTGAAAGCCGAACTAGAATCACAAACATGACCACTCATCCTGCAGTGAGTTTAAGAACCATAGATTGAACTCTTGAGAATGTATTCCTTCCTCATGTCACGACTTCCAGCTGTCCAGACGTTTTCGCCTGTGAAGCACTCTTGTCATGCTGAATTGCGGTAGTGATTCCTGTTTGGCACAAGGTTCCTGTGGGCTTTAGGCTTTTGCCTGAAAGATCCAAGTTGTTCGGTCGGTCATTTTTTGCAAGTCTTTGGTCGGGTGGACCTGGCCCTGACGCGGGACCACCCGAAGAGCAAGATGGAACCGCGTGTGAACCCATCACTGGTAAGAGCAACTTTGTACTATAGGAACAAGAAGCTACTAGGGGCTCCTGGCATCGCTACGAACGGAGCAAGGACGCTACGTTCGGGGCTCCTGGCCGTACTAGTAGCAAGAGGACGCTACTAGTAACAGTATAGGTACGGCATGGACAACGGCGAGGGCGCGACTCTCTGCCTCCGTGCCGTGGGACGCGTGGACGTCCGCAGGGTCCCATCGACTGCGTCTGGGCCAAGTGGGAGAGCTGGGAGGCCGCTGGGGTCGCTTTCGGCAGTCGGACCTTGGTTGGGGTCACGACCGAAGGGCCGAGGAGAGGCCGAGGAGAGGCCGAATGGTTCCATGTCAAACATCAGTAGACATCCACATCCGTGGATCCAGTTCGATAAGGAGATCCTTGCACCAATAGAAAGCTTTGAGGTGTGTAAGTCTACATGGGTCTACATGAGTCTACAATGTTTAGTTAGTTTGTGAGACTAGGAGCTTTTTGGGTTCTTAGACACATGGCAGTTGCCAGAGTGTTCGGTCTTTGAGCTCCGTCCATGTCTTTACTCGCTTGTTGGTCAATTCATCCCAAGAGCAGCAGGATGTGTGACAGGTCTGCGGAAAAGAAGCACAAGTGAACACCCATGCTACCCTTTGGAGCACCCGCTTTGTGACAAAACCAATGTTTAGGCTCAAAGGATGCTGCGTTACTGGTGGTCATTACCCTCTCTCTCTCTCTATATCCACGAACATATACGAACATCTAGGTTGATGAACAGCTGTGTGGTGTCAAGCATGGCACCCCTCGACCCATCAGCGGTCGAGGCGTGTACGGCCAGCTGTGGGTCTGGCACCCACACGCGCAGCCGCTCGCTCGCCACCCACGCCAACAACCTGGGCCGAGACTGTGCTCCTCGGCTGTGGTGTGTGTGACAGGGGGGGTCAGGACGATCGGAATCTGAGTTGGGTGTGGATCAGCAAACAATTGCCTAGCAACCTGGTGCGACGGGTCTACCGAAGAGTAGCCCTTTGTGGCCGATGTATATATATATATACATAAATATATATATATATATAATATTATAATATATATGTATATGTGTGAACACCCTCGGAATGAGGTGAACCACAAATTAAGCGCTTTGAGCCCGTCGTCCAAGCGCCAACGAAGATCTTGGAAGTTTGGATGTGCAAACCTTTGTCGATGGCTGCCCTGTCCTTGTGTGACAACTGGAGGATGATAAGCTGCTATTTTTAGTCCGTGCTTTGTAGCTAGACTCTAAGACCAAGAGTGCTAGTAAGTTCAGTTCGTGCTGTTTTGCAGTTTCAAGCTTTGAGTTTCATGTGCGGACTTGGTACGCCTGACACGAGCATTTTGGCTTGAAGTCCGGACATCAGTTTACAGTGTACTATGACCCCTACAGCATTCTAAAGACGCTCGCCCCTGAATACCCTTACAAGTGTGGAGGAGAGAGAGAGGAGAGAGAGAGAGAGAGAGAGAGAGGGAGGGAGGGAGGGAGGGAGAGAGAGAGAGAGAGCATGAGTTTGGCCACAATCCTATATTTCAATGAAATCACATCAACGTCTCTCTTCTTTTGCTTTTTAAAGCAGGTCTTTTCTGCTCGCGCCTGAAAATCTGATCAAATCAACAGAGAAATCATGAATGACAAAACCAGCAGCTTTGTTTTCATTGGGGCCAGTCATGGGGGTAAAGAAGCTGCATAGCCGATCTTCAGTGTGGAAGAGCTAGGGTTTGAGATGTTTGGCTCGGGGACACCTGGTTTGAAACAGGGGTGAATCAGCGGGAGTGTTGGACAACTGTTTGATGCACTTGGGACTATTGCAGTGGATGCACCATCCAAAATAGCTTAGCTGGAGGACGTGGTATCTACCATGGACTTCCTTACCTTCTAAATTCCAAATCAGGCCTTGAAACAAGAAGCTACTAGTAACAAGTGCCTTACTACTAGGAGCAAGAAGCTAGTAGTAACAAGAAGCGTCAAGAAGGAAGACCCAGGTTCCCAAGGATCTGGACAGTTTCATTTAAATTAATAGCTTCTTGTTACTACTAGTAAGGCACTTGTTACTACTAGCGTGGCACTTGTTACTGAGAAGTGGGACTCGCGGATCTGGACCTCCGACGGATCCGATAAAGACTCTGAAGGCACGTCGCCAACTGAGGCCGGGGAGGATCGACAAGTGCAATCCTGCAAGGCGCGCAGAAACCGCGGAGGTCGGACCTGAAGACATCTATTTGATCTATCTACATTTCTACATGTTTGTTTTATCAAACGTCTCACTCATGTTAGCAGCAGTTGCTCATGTTGGTTTTGCACAGACGTTGTATTGAGTTTGCTGAAAGAGTATGAAAGAGTCACTTTGCGGGATGCACCCAAACCAACGGTATCCGGGTATCCTAAAAGTTTTGCAACATTGCTCAGCGGGTCCTTTTGCGAAGAGCGGAAGGGTTCTGAGCAGTGATCTCAGCGATCGCGAACGTGAAACCCGGCAAGTCCTCCAACTGCAGTCAGGCAACAAGTCATTCAAGGATGAAATATAGAGAGGTATAACTGGGTGGAGCAGTGAACACGTGTGCCAGGTGGAAAGACCATCTCAACTTCAGATCTGTTCAACTTCCACCGGTGGTAGCGGCGCAGGGCGAGGAGTGCCCCAGTTGCAGCACCTCGGATTGGAGCGGGTGGCCTCAGACCTATGGCATGTCTTAGTTGTAAGGTTTTTACATGAACATGTACATACCTTTACACGTTTCTTTCCTTTTCTTTAAATGATGCCCTTTGGCTTTGATCCGCATACGGCTTCCTCTTTTGCTCCCCCCTTTGTGGAACCGCGATCCCTGGGTCCCAGGCGACTGGTCGCCGTGCACGGGGCCCTGCTCCTACTTCAGCTCACGCTCCATCCGCGTGCGCGAGCCACTCCAGCAAGGCGCTGAAGCCGGGCTTTTGCACCGATTCCGGGGCACGGCGGAACGGTATCCGCCTGGATGTGGGATGTGGAGGGTGTGACACATCGCCGGGACATCGAGAATGTTCGCAAAGACAGAGCAGGGTTTATCTGTGGGATCAAGGAATGCACGAGGATGTGGTGTAGGATGTCTTGCGACTTGCAGTGGGAGGTGTCCAAAGACGCAGAGCATGTTTGGGGATGTTTATGATCCTCAGAGTCAGAGTGATCCTCCTGTTCATAAATCGCTTGTGATTTTGTGGCCTCAACCTGGATGTGAAAGGCCAAACATGTTTATGATCTCATGCAGCCATAGCACGTGGTACGTGTGGTTCTGCACGCCCCCTTTGCATCGGACCTTTGGACCGTCACGAAGCATTCCGAGACCCAAACACGCCGAAGCATTCCGAGCACCCGCCGCTTGAACTGGTTGCGCTTACAGGGCAGATCTACACTACTGATCCGTCAAGCGTTGATAACTCCTAGATGGCCAATCGTCGTTGCCAAATCTGGGGTCAGCAGCTCAGCAGATACAGTCCAATCGCTATGTAAGTCTTTAGCCCTCTGGCAGCAAATGGGCGCGTATTAGAATAGGAAGACCTCCCAGTTGGACCTCCAGGTTCAGAAGGGAAGTGGATCAGTCTACCCAGCCAGGGGCCACGGGGTCCCTTCTGTTTGCGACCGGATGTGGCGAATGCGAGGCATTTGTGACCAGAGCCTGGAGGAAGAGAGAGCCTGCAGCTGTGACGAGCAGGCCGCAAGCTTTTATAGAAGGGCGGCACTTGGGGTTGAGTAAACGCATCACAGTGGGGAACAGTCTTGGTAATAAGAAGCAACACAAATTCGATCCTGTGTTTTCCTGGCATGCGCACCCTTCAAACAAGAAGGGCTAGTGTTAGGGTCCTTTTAGAGTTGGTCAACTATGTTCCTATCTTAGACCCCAAGGCCATATTCCTCATCTTCCCACCCCCAGATGGCTACAGGGCTTGCCAAGTCAACATTGGTAAATGAGCCCAAGATTCTACTGCTTCCAATAGTTTGTGTTGGAGGGGGTTCTACTTCTATTTGGTTTAAATTTAGGGTCGCTATACGGTCAACATTTGCTCATCTTCCATTCGCACTCCGTGGGTTTTCGACCGACCGTGCAGCTTTCCGGTTTTGGGAAGCCAGGGAGATGAAGTAGAAAGTTCTTCCCACATTGAACCTGGGGGTGAGATGCCCGTGGATTGCACTCTGTTCTCAACACGGCTGAATGCCACAGCAGCATGGTTCAAACGACCTGACGCTGGCGCAGTGCACAGATGGTTCGGAAAGGCAGAAAGCTTCTCCGTCAGTGTCCAGAGTTGAGAGTGAAGGTAGTGCTCCCGAGTGGCTCAGCTGGTTTGATCGAGCTACATTTGTTTGGCAGTTGGTTTGTCAGTGTAGGTCCTAGTTGAGTATTCACAGCGCAACAGAGAGAAGAAGGGAGAATGAGATTTGGCTTGCCGCTGTTCTGATCTTGTTGCCGTGATGTTTTTGGATTATGCTTAAGCCTCCAAACATGCTGTAGAGTTCCGGTATTCAGGGCAGGTTCGGACGGGAGGATGGGATTTACTTGAGGTGGCCGTGATGTAGAAGTCTCGGTGCCTGTGACCTCCAAGATTGGAGATGTGAAAGTTGCTGCCCAGAAGTCTTTGGAACAAGGCGAGCTGCGGGCTGCAAGCGACTTACCTGGGTGTCTGGGAGGCTGAGGCCTTTACATTCTTCTATTTACCGAAGACACAGGAACTAGATCAGAGTCGGCTTCGGTGGGGATGGCCTGGTAGAGTCCCAGTATACCATTTCCTTCATGATTTTGTGCCTTCGGTAATTAAACCGACCAACGTCGGAGATGGCTTGGCAACATTGTTGTGTTACTGGGTGCCTTCAGTAGCCCAAAGTCTTCGAAGTGGGATTGATTCCCTGGAGGAAACGAACCAGTTTCGCAACTGGGCATGCCAGCCACATGGCCAGAGTCCGCTTCAATATCAGCAAGCCACAGATCGGCTTTGCGCTACTGAAATATATCTGCGCTCACGACAGCACTCATGAAAGCACCCCTACCTTTTGAGCGAGTTTGCACAAATGAGAAGTGTACCAATCAAGCCATGACCAATGGCGTTTAACGAAAAAGGGCGGCTACGTCGTGACCACAGCTGCCTGAGGTTTTTTGCATAACCACAGGTTATGAGCCCAAAGCCCCACATTTTTTCTTCTTGAAGTCCACCCCTGAAGATCAGGGTTGTTGGTCCCCATGAGCGGCTTTGCAGCGCGGCGCCGGCGCTCCTCACAAGAAGGAGAGAAGCTGAAAGACCCTGCAGATCGAGAAGGGCATCTTCGCGTGGGCGCTGCTGATGAGCGGCTGGACACCCTTTTGGAAGAGTCGAGGGCAAGCTCGATGCCTGCTGCGGTGAGGAGGATCGCAACAGCGCCAGCGCCCATCGACGCAGGAAGACCATCAGGTTCGACCACGGAGAATGGTCATCGTGGTGTGAGGCATGACCATCCGGAGCTGTGGAAGGCTGGCAGGAGACAGTCCCTTTGGTCATGGGAACCAGGCCCCCGCCTCCCAATGGACTTCTTGGACCCATTTTTCATGGCCATGATCCGGGACACCCTCATGCCGGCGATCACGGATATCCTGGAGGGCAAGTTGGCTTGGAACCACCTCTGCCCAAAAGTTCTTCACCTCAGTGTCCGGTTCCGCCTCGGGTGGAGCGCCGTGGAGCGACTGTTGATGGTGGACTTCAACCCAGGGTTCATGAACCGTATGTCATTGCCACCCCTCATCAACCAGTTCGACAGCCAGTGAACCCTTTCTGGAGCGATCGTGTTCGTGCTCCGGAACCTGGCACCCACTGCGCAGGAGATTGACTCCATCAGGGAAGGGAACCTTCGTGAAGCGCATGAGAAAATCTTAGAGAAGGAGGTGAAGAAGATCACGGGCGGTGGTGACTCGTCCTCCTTTGAGTCTGTGAATAGTGTTGGGGAGAGGGGGAGACAACCTCAAGCTCGGGACCATCAAGGGTTTGGGGCTGGTGAAGGTGCGTTGGACCCACTTCATGATCGACCCCTCTGGATTACATGGCGCTGGGGACGGTTCCTTTGGCCAAGGCAATCATTGATGGTTGCCCCCAAGAGCACTATGCCCGCTGGCTGACTATGAGTCCCCTGGAGAGACTGCGAGCCAAGCCGGAGGTGATAATTGATCCTGCGCTTCAACGAATTGAGCAGCGTGGCATTGCTATGCTGCTCGGCGCGCTTCCTGATCAACTTCGACGAGAAGGCAGCCGTCGGCGGTGCACATCCTGTACCGGCTTCATGTTGCTTACCAACCCGGCGGCGGTGCCGAGAAGACACAGCTGCTGAAGAATCTGGTGGAAACCAAATTCTCCACCAATGTCAATGAGCTCCTCGTGCAGGTCAGGCTTTGGAGGCGGTGGCTCTCCCGTGCGCAGGAGCTTCACCTGAATCTTCCGGATCCGATCGTGCACATGGTAGCTCTGCAGCGAATGATTGAGAGTGCCACAAAGACAGGCGGCGCACAGATGTCGTTCAATGTGCGGCAGGAGCCCCGAGTTGACTATGGCCGCATCCCTGGCAGGAGTGACAGAACTGGCTGAATATGCGCAGGCGGAGATCGAGGAGATGTCACATGATGACCGCACAAAAGGGTGGAACACCAGCACCTCAGTCAGCTGTCTCTTCCAACCAAGCCACTACAACGTCGTTGAAAGCTATGGCATTGTCGTATGGCGCTGCGGCTGCTGACGGTGATGATCGAGCAGCCTAAAAGCCGGCTTGCAAGTTTTGGAAGTCGGAGGATGGCTGTAAGAAGACTTCGAATTGCTCCTTTGTCCATGACAGCTCGGACATTAAGAACCGTTGCTATAGCTGTAGGGGAGCACATATGAAGAAGGACTGTGCCCGCATCAACCGAAGAGCGGAAAGATCGACTACAAGAAGGTGTCAAAGGTCAAGGCAGCGAAGGAGACTGACAAGTTGGAGACTCGGGAGAAAATGACGAAGGACCCTCCTGGCGGCGATGAACCGGCAGCTGGATCATCATCCTCTCCTATGTCAACTACATCGAAGACCGCTGACTCGCCTGAGAAGTCGCAGAGTCGGGACACTGCTGCAGAGTTGTTGTCGGAGGCCACTTCATTGCTGAAGACCATCAGGAGTATGAAGGTGCTTCAAGTCAAGGAACTGAAACCCTTGGAAGTGAATGATTGTGGAGCCGTTGGCCTACTCGATGATGGCGCGACGAATGGACTCCGCTAAGCACATCCTCATGAGCTTGAACACATGTACCCGGTTCGGGTAGAACTGGCATCTGGATCTGAACAGTTCAGGGTTGAGGACCACAAGACCCTACTGTCGTGCGAGCGTGTGGAGGTCATAGTTCCCTTACATCGCTTGGTGGCGTTGGGCTACCGAGTGCAGTGGACAGCGGCTGGTGTCAAGATCAGCCACCCTGAGCATAGCAGGAATGCGCTCTGAGAAGTGGATGTCCTGTGCTCCCTGAGGCTGAGGCGCTAGAGCTGCTCAATGTCATGGAGAAGGCCGATCGTGGAGAGATCTTGAATTATGACAGGACCTGTGAATGGTGGTCATCCTACTTCCCCTCTCTCCGACCCGCATCACGGTGGCCTTTGCTCGTCGGTAAAACTCCCGCGAGATCTGGAGGAGGAAGGTTGTCACGGACAACTGGGTGGAGAACCGCAACTCAGATTTGGAAGGCGTTCATGAATGGTGTGGATACACCTTCTTCTATGTGAAGTTTGGACCTCAACCGGATGATGAAGAGTCGGTGAAGGTCGTCAGCATGGTGGTGCTCAGCAGCCTGTTTTCCCCCGTGGGGCCAGGCCGGAAGACCACAGGGGATATGGACAGACTGGCCCAACTCAATCGCGAGCTCTGGAAAGAGGACGAAGTGCTACTCAAAGCCAAGATGGCGCCGATGGCGCTAGCTCGTCCCCAGGGCGTATATGATGGAACTGCAATCATGGCTCGTGACACAGCCGTCTTCGAGGGTGGCCCGATGAGTGGATATGAGGCCCGACGCATGGGAGAGGAGAGATTGAAGCCGCCGAAACCGCGCTGCTGCCGCTGGAAGACAAGAATGAGGAGGCGTGGAAGCTCTCGCTGACTGCTGAGGGCTTGCTTCCGCCTGAGGCGGATGATGTCCCTGTTTGAATGGGGGTGGGAAGTTCGATCTTTGAATTGTTGGCGAACAGCAGATGAAAAAACCTGCTGTGAGCCAACATGGTGGCACCGCCACCACGGGGAGTGCGCTCACGACAGCACTCATGAAAGCACAGCTACCTTTTGAGCGAGTTTGCACAAATGAGAAGTGTACCAATCAAGCCATGACCAATGGCATTTGGCTCAAGTGAACGAAAAAGGGCGGCTACATCGTGACCACAGCTGCCTGAGGTTTTTTGCATAACCACAATATCAATAAAACTGGGTGTGGTAGACTGTGGAGCCACACACCAGCAAGGGATTTCGTTTTTGTCTGAGTCCCCCAGTGGTACCGCCAGGCTTCTTGAAGCTCGTGGGCCCTGATGGACAGCTCTTGAATCCATCTGGTGCGCTTGCAGAGCTTGGACTTGAAGATGGAGAGACTTGGTGAGGTCGACCGATTCAAAAGGTCCCTGTACCGGTTGCATTTGACCCGGTGGAAGTTC